TGTAAATTTAAATATTAAATAATAAAATGATATAAATGTGACAGTTTTGATGAACATCAAGCATCTACAAGAATGATCTTACAATAATATTTTCATAAATTTCAAGATGTCTCTAACATTAGGTTCATGGAGTAGTCACACGTGTTCTTTAAAATTTATTAATCGTTTATTAAATTTACGATATAGATTTCTACAAAAACAAAAAAGCTTTCCTATTGAAATCTTTGACCATGGGTCATCCAGATAACCTCTTTGGGTTGTAGAAATTCAATAAGGTTACAGATATCGTGATAGCCAATGCGAATGAGAGAAAGAGAGAAAGAATATACACTCGCGGTTTCATGGACATTGAATTTCCCAGCACGATGATATATAAATATAATAACACTGGTCACGTTCGATTTCATTTGAAAGTAGCATCGATCGCACATATATTTAATGTATGCGTATTTGTATGTGTGAGCACATATTTATATATATCTAGAGAGAAAGAGAATTTTACGAAAACGTTATCTCCCTCGAGAAAGGGCATGCATTCTGGCCCCTCGACACCGTTTCGAAATGGTGAAACAGATCTTTTTTACTGCTATTCTCGTTTTCCTCTCCATGCACGTTTCTTGGGGGGGATCGAGATTCTTGGACTTCTCGTCTTCGATCACGACTTAAAGATTTTTCTCTTATCTTCCTTTTATTTTTCTCTTATTTATTTGCCTTATCTTTATCTAAACCGCGATATAAATCATACAAACTTTTGCATACTTCAAAACACGTTTTTGCTGACACTAGGAAGTTTAAAAATATTCTTTCGTCTTCTACTTCATATATTATCAAAAAAAAAGTTGATTTTCGTAACATTTGTGTAATATTTTCTTATTTTTGTATTTTTATATCCTAAAATCGATCGTATAATAATTAATCAACGATCAAAATTATTCTTAACAAATAATTAAAATTAAATAATATTTGGTTGGCAAGAAAGTAATTTCGGCTTGAAACCAATTGATAGCGTTATGTTTATTTCGTTATTTTTTTGTTAATGTTACAATTTGTTTCTTTTGTTGTTTGGTAGTTGACACTTTTAGGTTTGCTATAGAAACAAATTTCGTGTAATTTTGTTAACAACAACAAATTACTTTCTTGCCAAGCCAATATATTAAAATTATAAAAAATTATTAAAAAAAAAAAAATTAATAAGTATAGAATTCGAATTTCGTAGGAATAATAATAAAAAATAAAAAAAAAAAACGCGAATAAAATGTGAAGAAAATAGAGCAAAGAAGAAGAAGAAGAAGAAGAGGGTGTGGTGGATCTTAAATGGCGGTGTCACATCCATTACACGTCTATATATTTTCCGGTCTACGGTTCGTCCTACCTTCGCGGAAGATTTCTCTCCTTTTATTTCCTAAGAGTTTCTGTGTCCTTTTCCGCCCATCTTTCTCTCCTTTTCTAGTCGGCCGATGCCAGCTAGCACGCCAGCAAACGCTTGTGCTGGCTGCTGCTGCACAGATGCCGACAATATTACTTGCTCTGGTCCCTTTTATGGATATTGCCACGCGACTCTGCTACTATATCTTTACGTTCGTATGCTCGTATATGTAATAGTTTAATAATGTATATATACTGCGACAACCGTACTTATATATACATATATATGTATGTATGTATTGAAACCGTATAGCTATTTCCGAATAAAATAACAAAAAATTTGACGCCAAATGAGAATAAGAAGATAAATTTTCCCAAACTAAAAGTATGTTTTCTATGATACTCCATCGATGTACATTCTATTTTCTTCTATGGATACTATTTGAGTTTTTTCAAATTGTTATATAATATATTAACAATAAATATGAATAGTTAAAATTTTATAAATAAATTTGATCGTTTATACCATTTTTTTTTTAATCCTTTGTAAAAGTATTTTGATGATACTTCTATAGTTGATTTCATGTTCTACATTTTCTAAATAATTCAATAATAGATCCAATTCAACAACATCATTTTGTCAGATATTCGAGGATAATATCTGAAATTTTATGAATAAATTTTGGTCTTTTCAAGTTTCGAACGCTTGAAGATTTTGAAACACTTTGTAGTCCTTTATTGTAAGGGATGAGAAGATACTTGATTATCCCGACAACTTGCAATCTCATGAATATTAATAACTTTTTCTTTTTCATTTATTTAGAGATGCGTCTAAATTGGGGAATTTTAATTAACAACAATGGCTAATAACGTTAGTTCTCTTTCTTTTTGTTTTTATATATATATGTTTCGTTTCTTACTAAATTAATTCCTTCCATCTCAACTAGAGAATTAAATATTTTTAATTTCAATTGTTCTTATAATGGATTATCTTTGTTTAATCTGTAAAATGAAATTATTTTTGTTTGTTTGTTTGTTAAGATCTTAAAATAAACGTTGAAACTTAGAAAAATATTTCGATATTAACCGAGCAGCAACGAGCACCGTTTGCTTGGGATATAAAGTACAAGAAAAATGTCCTCTTACTTGCTGTTCATATCCTTTACGATCGACTTCTCGCGAACGAGATGACACGAGGAGATGTCTCCCGAAGACAATAAAAGACTAATTGGCACTTTACGCTAAAGATTATCTAAATAACTCATAATAATCATGAAGAAGGAGACACCATTTTTCTTGTTAAATCGTTTCACTTGAGACGAAAGAGGATATATGATCGTATAAAAGTGATATCGACTGCAGCTGGTAAAGACCTGAGGTCGAGTATAATGGCAAGGAAAAAAAAAAATCAAAGATAGATTTAAAAAAAAAAAAAAAATTTATAACTTCTGGGGTCGAAGATACCATAGAATGTTCATTTTTTATTTTATCTTTAATACTCACTTTCGTGTCAATCGTTTTAATGGACTTCATAAAAATTATTAAAAAAGATGTAGGTATGGTTTCTCATCAGTAAAAAAAAAAAAATACAAAATATAATAATTTCATTAAAATATAATAGTAATAATATAACAAGGATCATATAAAAAAAAAGTTGTTATAAATTTAATAACATTTTTTTTAACGTAATCGTACGATAGTATTCATTCGTAATGAATTAGCAAGATATAAAATTGATAAATATTTAATTACTTACAATGTATCGATTCATTAATGCATACGACTACTATTCTGTCATACTATTATAATTTCTAAATTTTATTATATTTATCTATTCTCATATAATGCATGTATAAAGAAGATTTACTGTGTGATTATTAATATTATTTCTTACATATATTTTATCTCTATAGCAAGATTAAATAATTTATACAGGTTCGTATATGTTCTTAGAAAAGCTGAATATAATTTAGCGACCTCGCATGAACCGATCGTGCATCTTTAAATGTATACCTGTAAGTTTGCGAGAAAGCTCTTTTTACGAATCGTAGGATACGCGTACTATCGATCGTTCCCTCTCCATCGAGTTTTCTCTGTCTCTACGTACCTCATTTCACGTCGTGATTTCTACCAGCGAGCAAGGATAGGATATATGAACGGAGTTCAACGCAAGAGAGAGAGAGAGAGAGAGAGAGGTAGAGAGAAAGAGAAAGGGAGAAATGTCATCGCGTGTGCATAGCTTTACGAGTCCATCATCCACCTTTTGACCCTACCAAACGTTAAAAGTTGTCCAAGAAAGCGTAAAATTAAGGTAGACAATTTTGATTAGATTTTTAAGCAAATTAGAATTGTTGAAATGAATTCGATTTGTTTATAATTTAACGAATGATCTGTGATATTTGAAACTTTTTCTTTTGTCATTAAACAACATAATTTTTACGAAGTACAATATTGTTTCATTGACTTATTTTGATATTAAATGAATAAAAAAAAAAAAGAAAAATTTTTAGAAATAAATACAAGTATTATCTTTATTTGTATTGCTCGAAAATAATTCCAAAAATATTAATTTTTATAGAACGTTTCTCTCTTTTCTTTATTAAATTTATTAATAAAATTGTATAATTAAGATTGTTAAATAAAAGAGAAATAATTTAAATAGATAGAACAAAGACTTATTTTAATCATTCATGTTGTTTGAGAATAGTTTGGAAAGGGTTGATTGTGTAAAGATCCTTACATTGAATCTACAAACAAACAGATCTTAGAAACTCGAACGCACACTATTCCGAGCAAAACATAAGATCGATTTTCCCGTAATTGTGCTTTTACCTTGATCACTATTTACAACCAAGTTTCGCATTACCTTGATTATTCGCATTTCGATTTGTAGCCGGCAACAAGCCGGCTCGTACTACCGAACAGTACGAGTTGTACTATATCGTGAATGCGATAGCGTCCGTGATAGTACACGGACTGTATCTCCACCGAGGTATCTTTCGACGTTTTATCGCCGTCGTAATTCAACTCGAGACAGCTCGCGAATACCTTGGGCCTCAGCCGGACCAATTTACTGCCCTCCGTTTTGTCGATACTCCTGCACGCATTCCGCTATATACTGTGTTCATTTCCGAAAGAAGAATTGTTTCTTCTAAAGAAGCAAATAAATCTTCAATAAAAAAAAAAAAAAAGAGAGAGACCATTTTTTTGGTGACAACAATAATATCTCTTAAATATTAAACTTAACAAGTGTAATCAAACGAACGCACTGTATAATTTGTAAAAATATGATAATTTGTCTGCATCCAATTGACTAAAAACTTATTCTATATTATTTTATTTTTATTAAAATATATATTTTTTGTTTTAAAGCGGTAGAAACACAGGTCTATATGAAGTGTTGGTAAATTCAGTGTTAAATGTAAAACAAAAATATTTATTATATATTTCTTTTTATAAATTATCAAAGAAAAGTAAAACAATACATAATTGAAATAAATAATAATAATTTGTAAGAGTCTAACTTATGGCATAACTTTGCTTTTTTTTCTACTTCTCCAATGGAATTTACAATTAGGTCGAATCCTTGTTTGTTTGTGTAGTCTGATAAAAAATTTGGTTGGATTTATTTGCAGATTCAGAACAATCGCCGGCCGTTTATCTGAGAGACGATCCGCTATTCGGTACGTTACAGTTACAACAACATAGTGAGCTCCGAGCTCCAACTGCAGAACGTGCAGCTTTTTATCTCGACGCAGCAGTTGCCGGCCGTCAACGAGAAGATGGAGATGCTCATATGCTCTATACGTTACACGTGTATCAGTATAGCGTCGCTGGCAAGGGTGGTGGTACGTAAAACCCTCTTTATAAATCTATCAAAAATATTATTTTATAAAAACTAAGAGAAATGATAAATCGTCCTGTCTCATTTAATTAACTCATTACACTCCGACTAATTATTTATTATAATACGATGACGTATCAACAACTTCAAAACATTTTTGTAATATCGTTAGTAAATACAAAATATGTATGTATTTAAAAAGAAACGTAATTCAAATTTTATTTATTTGTTTATACAACATTTTCTGTCGTTAATATTAAACAAAATTCTCTCTCTTTAACTTATTTTACTTCCATCTTTACGCCGCGTAACACATATTTTACGAACCGAAATAATAATTGGTTGCATCGATGACGAAGTATCGAATTAACGATAAATTATGTTTCGTATTACAAATGTCATAATAACGAAGCACTTACGAAATGTTAAAGGGTTAATTAAAAGTTACAACGGAATTATTATTTTCGTCTTTTTGAATGAAAATAAAAATGCAAATGATATTAAATATTACATTAACATAGATAAACAAAAATTGTAAAAAATATATTTAAAATATGAATGGCGTAAGATACATAGTAAGATAATTTCATTATCTTTATTTAATAGTCGCCGGCGGTAGAAGCAGACTACATCTCATGGACCTTGGTAATTCCGACCGTGGCAAGTCGTCCGGTGGAATACCACTTTCGGGTCTGGGAAATATTCTCTTAGCCATTTTCAATGGACAGAAGCATTTGCCGTACAAGGAGCATAAGCTAACCCAATTACTAAAGGAATGTCTTGGCTCGTTAACGTGTCATGCAGCAATGATCGCCCACGTGTCTCCGAATGCTCAGCATTATACTGAAACTTTAACGACCGTACAGTTGGCATCGAGGATTCATCGAATGAGACGAAGAAAGATCAAATTTGTCGGTGGTGGTACGCAGGGTAATGGGAGCGGTGGTAGTTCGGGTGAGGAAGCAGCCAGACAGAACAGCGAGTGTGATCCAAGTTCGAGTGATCTTTCTGCAGACACTGTGATTTACGTTGGCCCAAGTGCCGATGACGCAACCGATGGAGAACATCCACCAGTTTATATTCCCAGTTTAAATTCCGGTGACAATCGCTGTGCAATGGGTCGAGTACTTCGTGGTTCAGCAGCTGAAAGACCTAGTAAGATTCCTGAAGAAAGAAGTCCTGCACACAAGGCCACGAAAATAGCGAAAACTTTAACACAGACAGCTTCGAAACAGACTTCACCTGCTCACAGTGCCACGCCGAAAGCTAGTCCAGCGCGGAAGATATCTTCGAGCAAGGTGTCAAGTTCAAAAGTAACTGATTCGCCAAGTAGTAAAATTCCAGTAGCTGCTTCAAGTGGTGCCTCGGATGAACAATGGATAGATGGTCCAAGAATTTCGAAATCTAAGGTTGCCGAAGCTAGACACATGTTAAAGGATTCTCATCATAAACGAGAAACTTGGATAGATGGACCGATGCAATTAACTAGTCCTCCACTGTTGCCACTTCATACTCAACAACAACATTCTTCTGGCTATGGATTCATGGATAGTCACAAAAAGAGTATGATAAGAAAATGGGTAGAGAATCAGTCGTCTCAAATTCAAAGATCTAAGCACGCGCAGATGCGTATGGAATCATTAAAAAGCACTGGTCAATCTTCTCAATTGAAAGAAATGACGACGTTCAAGAGTTGTTCTGCCACTGTTGACGATGATGATACTTCTTTATCAACAGCTGAGAGTGATAGTCTGAAGGCCAACGAGATCGAAGACATTACTGAAAAACTCGGAGCGAAACTTAATCTTCTAAACGTCAAGTCGAATACCGATTCAGGATTAGATCTAACAGCAAGCCCAGTTATGGATGATAGCATTGATAGAGGAAAATTAGATCTTCCCGAGGATGAGGATGACGACGAAGAGATAGTTGTACCACCTCCCTTACCTCTGATCGAACCTCTTAGCAATGGAGTTAGCAGGGAAGTTTCTATGGAAAGTTTGAACCTTTCTCACAAGGACATAGTATTACCATCCAGACATTCCCTCTCATCCGAAGACGAAATCTTAGAAATTGTTGAGGTGGAAGATTTAGAACCAGTGCCAATGCAGGACTCCTGCCTTCAAGTTACGGAAGAAGACATTGCCATGTGTATGAACGAAAATCCTTTGCCAGAGAGTGATCAAGAAGAACATCCTCTAAGAATTCTCAGCCAAGAAAATCTTACAGTTGTCTCTACGTTTACTGGTAAGTTCTTTATCGTCAATCTAAATATAATTATGTCCTCCTATTTATATTAATTTACTAATTCATTTTAAGAATATTAAAGATAAAAATAATTTCTCTAAAACAAAATTGAAAGAATGTAAATAAAGAAAATATAATATTTTTATCGAGCATTTTAATGAAGAAATTTTAGAAAGATAGAGAAAAAAATAAAAATATTTAATTCACATTTTTTGTAAAAAAAAAAAAAAAAAAAAAAAAAAATAGAGACACTCTAATTCTCGAAGAAAACCATAAACACATTTTGTAACTTTGTACGAGATCAGCAATTGAATTTTTTGACCAGTGTCTAGCAAAAGAAAGAAGAATAAAGATGGAGGAACTAAGTTAGATGTAATTACTTATCCACCTCAGAAAGGTTTTCTCTTTTTCCTTTCGTCCTTTATCTCTTTACTTTCAAAGGATACATACGGACAGCCGGACTTTTGCCCTTATCCACTTTTCTATCCTAAATACGATACGAAGCAAAAGACATGAAAAGAAAATAAATATCCTTTTCAGACTCAATGTCGGTAATGTCGGACACAGAACGCTACAGATCTCACTATCCACCCCCTGTTGGTGCTGGTGTAATGCCGAGGCCATATTTCGACCACGAGGATTTCTTGGAACAAGAGACTAGGCACAAATTTGATCAATTGGCAAGACTTCACGAGCTTTATCAGAGCAAATTAGCTCTTGCGAATGTTTCAAATTCAGCGACGTATCAAAGGGAGAATTCGTCCACTGTGAACTCGCGAGAAGCTCCATGTAAGTTTCATTTTGTTACCTCGAACGAGGTAGAAAATAACAATTTTTGTTTAAAACCTAGTAGAGAATATCAATTATTTTGATTGAAATAAGTTCGAGTGATGAAATAATTCGACAACATACATTTATTTCTCACTCAGTAATCAACAAAAGATCCTAAATTAATATCTTATGTATTCATCAAATATTTAACACGTAGTATATAATAATTATACACGTAGTATACACACATAACAACAGTCTAATAGTTTTCGTTACTAACACATGATGAGAAGCCAGGCCTAAATGTTCTACAGCAAGAAACAAATTAACGCAGGACAAATTCCAGCCGCCACCGTCTTCCGTCCGCCATCACGCTGTCAATCCTTGTCCCTTACGGATGTCTTGTTCAACGACAATGCGAGCAATCATGGTAGTATCTACAGCGAGCCCGCATACATAGCTGGAAAATCCGATCAGGAGAAGATCTGTGACAGTTGTCGTCAAAGTATGTCAAGACCAGCTACGGCTTTTTATTGGTATCCAAGTAGCGTCGCTCATCTTGCCAGTCCTAGAAGGTACTGCGGAAAATTAGGCGAGTGCAATATCTCTAGTCTGAGGCATCCAGATGGCGCTTCGAATCCTAATTTAAAAGAAGAAATTGAGAGGATACCCGGAAACGGTGCTTCGGGTTCGGATCCTGAAGAGGAATACGTGGAAGCAAAAAAACTCTTCACTGCGGCGGAGAGATCGGAAAGAACAATAACGGGCAAGTCCGATATCGAGGAGGACGTTAAAATTCAAGGTACAAATCTACAAAGTTAATAAACATTTAAACAAGCAAAAATGTACTTTTCTTAAATATATTCTCAAACTTATAAACTATCTTTCAAAACGTAAAATGTCAAATATTTGAAGAATGTATTTTCTTATTCAGCACCATCCTCCGGTCGAATGCAACGAAAAATCCTAAGTCTTGGATCTTCTCTGGGTCTCAATAAAGAGGGTTATGAATCCGATGCCGATTCAGCAGCACGGGTAGCTAAATTATCACCAGCTACATTATCAAGATATCGAGCTGAGAGTTCAGGATACGATAGTGTTGTCAGAGACAGTGAGACCAGTAGTATCGCTAGTGATTCATCGAGACAAACCAGTGCTCTTCAAGAACATCAAGGTAATTAGTAATTAGCACCGTTTCGTTCGAGATTGAGAGTCCTGAAAGGATATTGTCGATAATCCGGAAAATCGACGAAAAAAAATCCTCTAAAATTCCTCCCCCCGTACGATGTTATTCTCTTCAGGTGGCGCACTGGGCGTTCTAACCTCGACGTTGTGCGGGTGTTTCAGCGGTGGAACGGCGAGTGGCAGGGCGCGTGCTCCGGGCACGACATCACTCTCGGCAGGTGGTCCGACGGCATCCGGTCGGTCCTCCACCGCTGCCGCCGGGGATACTCGTCTACACAGGCGAGGACGTGGACATCCTGGACAAGCGCGCGCAATTGCGTTCGGAACCACGTGGCACGATGTCCAAGATTCACAAACTGCGACTGCGCCAGCGCCTTCTTAGGCTCGAGCTGAGAGACGCCAAGAAGCGCCTGATGGTTCCCGATTGTCGCTGGAGCTACGAATGTTAGTATTTTGTTCTTTGAAAATAATCCACTTATCAATTTAGAAAAGAAATCATTCTATTAGATAATATATATTTTTCATTGATATTACTCCAATAATTAATTAATTCGGTAACAATAAATAGAAATCGAGAATTCACCATATTTACAGATTTGTGTTTATACTCTCTTATACATTAAGATTTTACAAAATTATATGTACAAAATTATTTGTCAATCATAAAATAATCTTGTTGTTAATTGTTACAGTGCACGTGGAGGACAGCATGGATTGGCGTGACCCATCCTTTCTTGAGGCACTCGAAGCTGAAACTTACATTCTTCAAAAACGAGTAGAAGCTTGCAAGAGTCATGTTCTCTTGGTCACATGTTTCGATTTCTGCCCTAAAGGTTCCTCAACGAGTAACGCTGCTTCACCATCAGAAATAAAAATCACCTAACGCAGATTCGGATCAGCGCGCACGACCGCGTGCTGATCGATACCGGTTAACCATCTTTTAAAACATGCGTCTTTTTCTGCACCGCCTACGATCTTTATCTTTTGTTTTTTAAGATTCGCTAGGTTGGAAATAGAAAAAAAAAAAAAAGAAAAAAGAAATAAAAATTATTGAAGTGAAGAGACGAGCGAGGTCGTCGAATAAATGCGTCAACGACAACGACGCCGATGTCGCTCGACTCCGTCCAGAATAGCTGTTATGGTTAGTCAAAGAATCGTCGTATCCTCGTTTTACCATCACACGTCGTTATTATTCTTTGTCCAAGTTTAAGCGCTACGAAAAAAAAAAGCAAAGAAACAGAGAGAAAACTGCCTACTCAACGTTGTAACCTTTCAATTACGAAACTACGAAAAAAAAAAAAATTATGTGACTTTTCAATCGATCATTATATTATCTTCTTTCTCAAGCGTCTGTAATTTATCTTATATATCACTGAATATTTCTTTTAAAATATATCAATACATTTGAAACACCGTAACGATAATTTTGATTTTCGTAGATGAATGGTTAAAGAGATGGCAATGTACACACATGTACACATCGATAAATATACCTACGTACGCGCACACGCACGTGTCTTCTTATTGGAGTTGTTAGAGACTATATCGAGTATATATATATATATAGTATATATCTATGTATTCGCGTTCGAATTTCCTTGGTTCTTTCTTAAAATGGCGTATGCCGAGTTTCAAATGACTCCCCTCGAATCGAGATATAGAAGATGTTATCACTATGATTATTATTATTATTATAATTATTATTAATGCTATTATTAATTATATTATTAATACTTATTTTATTATTATTAGTATTCTTATTATTATCATTATCATTATTATTATTATTATTATTGATCATTGTTACGAAATGTAGAGCGTTCAATAAGCGATTATCGAATTTTATATACATATATATATATATATATATATATATAACTGTTTATATTTAATTTATTCTTTTTTAACGTACAAAAAGATAGGTGCTTCGTTCATTATTTTTAATGCGTGTATCGTTCGTTGCACATCGCATTTCAAGTAAGTAAAAAAAAAAAAAAAAGAAAGAAAATAGATTCGCACTGCCCGTTGTTGATCTCGATCGGTTATTAATTAATGATAAATAATATTGCTGACAAGAAACTATTTCGACGAGTGAAAAGTAGCATACATTATAAAATTTAATAACGAACTAACTGACGCTTTTTTGCGTCTTTTTCCTCTTATCGTTCTTTCTGGTCGTATTAGGTAATAATGATCGATTAATGATCCGTACTGCCAGATATATCAACAATAGAAAAGAACAAAAATAAACAATATACAACTTCCAATACTAAGACTGTTGGCTAATATGCCAAATTTTTTAGCATTCATGAAGACACGAGAAAGAGAGAGAGAGAGAGACAATTAATTAAAGCTCTCAAAAAAAATTCCTTCTTCAATGAGATCATTAAATGGGGTAATTTATACGATTAGAAACTCTTTGCAAAAAGTATGCCATGAGCTTTTCTAACCGAGAATTAGATTATTCTTCCTTGGCGTAAAAATACAACCCAAAAAAAAAAAGCAACGTATAAATATCGAAGTTCGATCGCTGTCATCATTTAAAGATCTCGATTCACGCTAAGTGACGACGAGTCGTAGAAATAAAATAGAAAACTGCCAATGAACGACATGCTACTGCCAAAAAAAGTAAAGAATAAAAATAATATGAAAGAACGAAATGAAAAGAACAGCAGGAAACAAAAATCTTTTTTATACGACTTAAGAATTATTGAGACATAAATTTAAAAAAAAAAAATATATATATATATATAAATAAATTAAATAAATAAATAAATAAATAAATGAAAAACTGCGACCGCAAGCGAACTAATTAAAATATACACGCACGTTAAATTCAAAATATTATCGTAGCTTTAATTGTTATCAACAGTTATCGCACTTCGTAGAGTTCTGTAACTTCACGTAGAAAGACGCGGATCGTGGTGAATACGAGATGAAAATAAAATCAAGAATAAGAGAGTGTGTGTGAGAGAGAGAGAGAGAGAGAGAGAGAGAATATTAGGAAATTGTGTTGTAAAAATGAAACTCGTTATACGCGTGCAGGAAAGAAAAAAAATTAACTCGTTCGATGGGGAAGAAGAAGAAAAAAAAAAAAAGAACAAGAAAGAAAAAAAGGAAGTAAGAAGAAACACACAGTTAGAGTTAGTTAAGAGTTTTCGAAAATATCAACGTTGAGAATATTTAAGTGAAAAAGCAACATTCGGTGTTAAGGAATGGAGCGGTGCCGAAGACGGGGAGAATGAAAATAGGCGGGATAAAAATAAATCGGTATATAGCAGTAGGCCGGTAAAATGCAAAAATAGAGATTCCAGCATTCGAATGCGTGTCGCGGCGAACAGAGATTCGATAACTACCAAGAACTTCCCCCATTTGTTCATCTTCATTCTTGTTCCATATACCTACCTCTTCAATTTCCATCATGCATTATGTATATACCATAATAATGTATGGATGTATGTACGGTACGTATGAATGTATGTATGCATGTATCTATGTATGATCGAATAAGCAAGTATGTTCTATAAAAAAAGAAAAGAAAAAAAAAACAAATCGAGTTATTAGTGTTTTAAAGATTTTAGCATAAATTTCAAATTTTATTTTGGTTTTTCTTTTTTTTTTTTTTTTGTCCATTTATTTTTGTGTTTCATTATATTATATATAAATATATATATTTTCACAGAAAATGTAATTAATAGAAAATGTCACGAAAAAACGTATGTAAGATAAAGAGATTTCGATTCGACGCACGTAAGTAAGTAAGTAAGTAAGTAAGTAAGTAAGTAAGTAAGTAAGTAAGTAAATATATTTACGTAAATTCGTAAAGAGTATTAAAGAATAGTGGAGTGTACTAAAGAGTGGTGGGGAGCGGTAAGCATGAGTCTAGCTTTGAGATCACGTGCGCAGTTTTATTTCGATCTTAATTCTTGTTACATTTGTACGACCCGTCTTCTTCAATATGAACAAATCTTGGTTAACGAATATCAAGATAGTACAATAATGCTAAACAATGATCTCTTACATTAGTTACGTTTTTTTAGTAGGAGACTGATACGCGTGTGTTACATGCAAACGAAATAGAAGATCGCTCTCTTCGCAAGAATAAATCAATTCGTTCATTGTTAATATTTTTAAGTTTATCTTTATTCAAACGAACGAAAGAACGAACGAAAGAACGATCGAACAAACGAACGAACGAACAAAAAAAGGAATGAAGGAAGGAAGGAAGGAACGAACGAACGAACGATGATGATTTAGATCTAACGATCGATATTTTTCTACCATTTTTTACATTTTCTTTTACAAGAACGATCTCAAACTCCAACAGGTGCGAGGGCTTCCACTATAAACTCAACAAAATATAATTAAATAAAATAAAATAAAATAAAGACTATAAAATACTTCCACCTTATCGAAGAACAACAATCTCGAATTTATAAATCTAATGATTTCCGTTGTCTCGTCGTCGCCGATTCGCGCGTATCTCGATCGGAATGCCACTGCCAAGAAGAGAGCGTGTGTCGTCGAGTCCGTCTACCGTGAAAAAAATAAATCAATAACAATAACGAATAACAGTAATAATAATAATAATAATTATAATAATAATAATAATAATAATAATAATAATAATAATAATAAACAATGAAACAATGATTTAAGAAATATAATAACGATAACGATTAAATGATTAAAACGGTAGTAACGCTCTAACGTCCCACTGATCATAAACACGCGTCTCTGTATATATATTATACTACTTGTACCATATTTATATTTTATATGTACAAATTAGCCATGTAATTTCTTGTAATAAAGACGAATTTGCAAACGTAGATTGACGAGAGGAAGATTGAACGATTTAAATGGAAAGAAAGAGAAGAAAAAAACTGAATATGTTAAAAAAAAAAAAAAAAAAACATTTTTTTTCTTTATTTAGTATTTTATTCATCAACTAATTTCAAATCTCATTTCATGAAATTAAATTAAATATGCTAATGTAGGATTCAACTGTATGTAATGTTTGGTAAAGAAATTTGTGGTTCACAACTATGATATAACTAATGGATATTTGAAAGATTACAAAATTGAATAGTGAAATGATGGACAAAAAAAAATAATAATAATCATAATAATAAGACCGTTTTATTTCTTCTTCTTCTGCTTAAAAAAAACATTCATCGTTTGGAAGAAAACAAAATAAAATAATGTAAACGAACGATCACGATCAATCATCCAATTAATTCCTATCTAATAAAATGTCTTCTTTTCTTTTTTCTTTTTTTTTTTTTCTCTCAACTGTCGTTTTGTAAAGTACTAATAAGGTAAGGAAGATATAAAATTATCTAAAAAAAGAAGGTATGTCATCGAAAGAGTTAAGGAAGATTAGACTACTCCTTAGATATTCGGGACGCAAAGTGGATTATCCTTGGAAGTGAGTTAGGCCGAGCAACGAGAAGGGTCGATGATTAGCGTAATTAAAGCTATAAAATCAGGGCCAATGATACGTATCGTAACACGTAAGGCCAACGAAGCCTTGGCATTTGAACGGTTTTAACCGAAGATACAATTGAATTTAACGTCATGTTAGTTAATCATGCATAAAATATAATGCATGAACGAAAGAGAGTGTATCATTTGCCTTCGTAAAAAAAAAAAAAGACTGTCCTCTTTAGAAAATATTAGCTTCGTTTGGCGAACGTGCTCGATCGCATCAACGACGATTAGAATTGTACGAGACGGTATGAATTTAACGTGGTGGTGGTGGGAGGAGGAGGGGTGAAGGGGAAAGGATAGAGGAAGCTCGTCAAAAGCGTTTCACGTTGAATGTCAAAGACACCTGTCGATGTCAATCAGGTCGTTCATTGTTATTCGAAAGATCATTTTATCTTATCAATGTACTTACGTCCATAGTATTAAATCGCATAACGACAATCATTGAATAATTAACTTAAGAATGAACGAAGAAAGAAAGGTCGAATGACTCGGTAGACATCTCGGATCGTCTAATCATTTAATATCGCATCTCTTACATTAGCTAATACGAGGACATTAACATGTAAACGGTGAACTACCGCGTTGCGTGTCTTGCTAACGTTCTAATTACGCGTGGGACATATTTTCTACAGAAAAGACTCATACGTACTGATCCAATCGTTATTTTTACAAAAATTTTTCAAAGTTGCATCAGTTGTCTGTCTCCTTGAGAAAATATTTCTACATAATTAGTACTGGTAGTAGGATTGTCAATGATTATTAACGTTAAGCTTCGTGACAAAAATTAGTTCATCATTCGTAGATGCTTGAAAAGTTTTCATCATTACAACATTGATAAAAAGGCAAAACGTGACGAGATAATTTAAGATGATTATATGGATTTCATTGAGTTTGATTAACATTTTTTATACATATGTATACATATTCATCCTATTCATCATATATTTAAGCATTTTTGTAAGAAGGTTTGATGCTAATGATTCGTGCAACACGTTAGGATATAAACACGTACATGTGAAATGCATTAAAAACAAATTCTCGAATAATTTCGCGATAAATCGTAAATCCTATCGACGTTAATCTTTCGCAAATAAATAGGTGTACATATAAAAAGAAATAAAAAAAAAAATAAAAAAAAAATAAAAAAAAAAAGAAATTAAACGTGTACATGACTAAAGTAGAACTTTCCTTTTTTACTTGAGTTTGTGTCGAGTGGACGCGAAGCTTAGCCCTTTTATTTATTCGTCTGGATGGGCATCGCGGCAAGCTGCCAGACAAATAAATCTCACGCACATAGGACGACGATGAAGAAGAAGAAGAAGAAAGAGAAAGAGAAAGAGAAGGAGAAGAAAGAGAAAAAGATAGAAAAGTAGAAGGAGAAGAAGGGGCAGGAGGAGAAATAGAAGGTGGAAAAAGAGGAAGAAGAGGTGGAGACGCCTTCGTATGTTGAAGTAAAACGAGATGATACTTTCCCGCGTCGTTGAACGATCTAATCGTCCATCGTCCTCTCTATCCACTTTTCTACTACATTGCTAGGAAGATAAATAAAAAAGGAGATAGATAGATAGATAAAGAGAGAAAGAAAGAGACAGAGACAGAAAAAAAAATGTAGGTGGATGTAAGTTGAAATGAAAATCATTTTCCTCGTTGTCTATTGAAATCTTACATGAGTTTGTACGTAGGTAACATGGGAGAGAAAAAAAAAAACCAAAATAAAATAAAAATAATTATTTAAAAAAAGAAAATAGAAAAAACACGGGAAAAAAAATAGGGAGGAGGATCGATCTCCGTGAACGTTCGACGAAATTATCGCTTGGCATGAAAAAGAATAAGAATAAGAAGAAGAAGAAACGAGACGTTGAGACTGCTGCTCGGAGGCGGCAGATTAGGGGGCGGCAAGAAGTAGAGAAACGAGCGAACGCACGATGAAGAAAAAGAAAGATAGACAGACAGATACAGTGTGTGTGTATGAGAGAGAGAGAGAGAGAAAGAGAGAGAGAGAGAGACTCGCATGAGCCATTTTCGAGAGAACCGATCTCTCGGCAGTAGCGTTAAGACAGTCCGAGAGAATGGCTCGCGACGAACGTTTCACCGGCGTTTCGTGTTTGGCCCTGATCATCCTCTTTCTTTTCGTGCCATCTTACTATGCTCTCTCCAAGAACGATCTCTACCCTTACAATGTTCCAGGAGCGAATGCACTCGAATACGACGCCAATGGGATTCTCCAATCTATCGAAGCAATTCTCAAAACACCTATTGTTTTTTACGATAAAGTCTACAATAACATATTCGTGAGTAATATTCGAGTAATATTTCGTAAAACAATCCCACTATATTTTTGTTTTCTTTTTTTTATCACAAACTTTATCAATATTTTAATAGAAATATTTGAGATTTCGTCGAATATTTCAAGTTAGTGTTCAATAATAGCTGAATTTTTATTTTCATTTATTTCTTGCCTCTACTTTTTGGATAAGGCAAGTGTTATTTTTTATCCTTATCAGTCTATGATCAATTTATCACATGCACATGTACACATACGACATACTTCGAAAATAATTTCATATATATATATATTTAAAAATATCTACTATTTATAATATTTCGTAGAAAAAAATTTTCGAAGAGAATTTGTTTGCTTAAAAGAAAAATATGATATCGGTTTTACAGTCCGGTTCGTAAATATAGTCTTTATTAGTGAGTATATTTAGAAACTCTCTAACGTCCGATTCTTATTGGCCCGAGTTCGTGTTATTCTCCTCTGTAACACGAACTAGGCGACCGATATTAATTGTCGACTTTGTTCTCTACGATAATTTCGACAAGACTAACTTCAAGATGACTCTATTACCTCGCTAGTCTTGATAATTCGAGTTGTTCGAGTGTAACGCCACCATAGTATGACTATGAGTATTAAAGCAATAAAGTATGCAGGAAAAAATTAATTAATTTAAAACATTATTAACTATAGCATTTTTTTATTATGATATATTTTTATATTTATCTTCCTTATTAACGTTCTTCTTAATTTTTTATTTGGATCTATATATATATATAGGACTCGTATCCTAATAATAATATTACACTTTGATGATCTTCCATTTTCTCTTTCTCTCCCTTCCTCTTTCTCTTTCTTTCTTTATCCACATATATTTATTTCTATCGTGTTCCAACTTCTTAATCATTTCACTTCGCAAATTTATTTGCAGCATCCGTTCTATTTTTACGTCGCTTTTTCGAGAGACGATAAAGTTTTAACGTAGAAATTCTTGAGAAAAAGAGAAAGAGAGAGAGAGAGGGAGAAATTTTTACATTCTTTGGATCGTATTATCATAAATAAGGAAATATATATGTTACCGTGAAAGACTGAAATTGGAGAATATCAAGATTCACATGGTTGAATGTCAACACGTACCAAATACGTTGGTTAAGTACCAAATATTTGGTATATTGGTGTATTCTTATACATTAATATTTCGGACATACAGCGAGCAAATGATCATGTGAATCTTGACATTTTTCAATTTCGATCTTTAGTGTCACCATATATATATATACATATATTACCGACCAATAACTAGAGGAAAAGAAAATATATGTGAATACAAGTGACATAATTAAACAATTCGTTAATATCAATTTCATTCTAGCATTCGGGTAGCCGCGAATATTTGTTCATTCTTTTAATTCGTCTGCTGGACTAATCTGTCGTCATCTTCTAGCGTGACACGAATTCATTGAACGTAATGACGGTCAAACGGCTACTTGTCGCAATCGTTTAATTGTACTGGGTCGTCGTACGGGTCCAGCCCTTTTCTAAGACATTTTAAAGAGAACTTTAACACCTTTAAATACGTCTTCGAATACCACATCCTCGATAAATTTTACTATAAGACATCATATATAAATGTTAATAAATAACTCGCAACAAAATTAATTAATTACTCGTTCATCGTTTATAGATATGTTAATTTATTCAATAAAACGTTGATATTCAAAAGTAAGAATATATATATATATATATATATTGCTTTAGAACACATTTCATAATTTCTATTCATCTAGTTAACTATTTGTAAAGAGTTTAACTTCGAATAAAATTAACAAGAACTTATACAGAATATATCTATGTAGTTACTATATCGAACTATCATATTCTTCCTTTTGCAAATAGAACAAATTTTTGCATTGTTTAACAAGCTTTATCATCAATTAGGATGAGTTTGTAGTTGCATACTTGAAATTATGAGTAGTTGTATAGTTACACAATTGAACCGATGTACTTCTGTAAATATTTGTAATAAAGTTATAACTCGACTCATACATCAGTAGTTATTACGTGTACCCTGTATATAGAATTAATTCTATTTAAATAAGATTTAAAGAATAGATAATAGAATCTCTAGGATAATCTCCAAGTTTAAATGCCAACGATACGTTTGAGTCAGCGTCCCTGACATCAGCGTCCGAAACATCGATAGGCGAATATGGTAAAATACACAATTAACAACAAAATTCTATAGGGCCTGTTACAGTTATTGTAATCTCACTCTTCATGGAATAGCAACGTGCTACGTAGTAACTAGTAGTTCTTATGAATGAACGTTGATTACGTACTATGCCGTTCTCTCTCTCTCTCTTTCTCTCTTTTTCTTTTGCTCTTAAAGTGCAAACCTAATTGAAAGATTAATCTCTCTTGCATCGGTTTATTGCGTCTTTAGACGTATGAGCTCATGCGTGGAAGCGTGACGGGCTGTTGCGTTCATTACTTTTTCCTCGTTAGATAGAATCGATTCCGTCAGAATTTATTCTCTACATCGAAAATCATCATCCTACGGATATGTATTGTCTTGTTGTTTGAAGTATAAAACAATGGAAAGACAAATAGTACAACCTTGACTTTTATGTTTTTTTTTTCTTTACGATGAAAAATATCCCATCGAGAGATTCATTCTTATCTTTTCCTTTTTATCCTTCCTTAATTGTTCATTCTTTTTTTGTTTCTCTAATATTTTGTTTTGTTCTTTGCTAAATCTGCACATCATTTCGTACGAACGCGCTAGGATTGCACCCTTTGTAAATCGCACGTAAATGCTTTCAGTCACGCGTTGCAACGTGATTGCGATCTGTCATGCGTCGTTTCCATTCATCGACACGTCAATAATTCAATCGTCCGCTAGAATGATCGTCGCATTATTAATCGACATGCACGTACAAATACGTACCTATAAACCTGCCGTATATACATATATATATGTATATATAATATACGTTTGTACTTACATGTATAGGACAGGTTCATGGTCGTGAATTTTCGTGTATCCATTTGGCTCATATTGCTTCCTCGTCGAAACAAGAGCGAGTCGTTTAGAAACAAAATTACATTTCGCGTGTATTAGGATCACGAAAACAATTTTATAGATCATTTATTAAACATAGAATAATCGTAGGACAAAGTTTTGTCGATATTTTCATTATTAGAGGTGCTTTCCTTTTTAAATAATTTTTAAACACAAGTATCTCAATCATATTGATTAGGCTATTCAAAGTTTCAAATTTTAAAAAATAAACTGTTTGTTTGAGATGAAATTTTTCATGAAAAATAAGATTAAACGTTTAGTATTCTTATCATTTATTTAAGAAAACTTTCAATTTATTTATTATTATTTGTGCGCTATTTATTACAATTCTTGTTAAAATTAATCATGTAGTTAGTCTAAATTTCTAAAATGATATCTTTGTTTCTCTCTCTTTCTTTTTGTATACAAGTTAAACTTACTTTCGGTAGAATTGGTATAATAAACGTTAGATTAGAATAACGGGTTAGGGAGTAGACAATAAATGTCTACGAGTGTTTACACGAGTTGATGCAGTCTAGTCACCTTTAGTTGTATGTATATATGTATGTATGTACGTATGTTGGTAAGTGTGGAATAGACGATTAGACGTTAACGCGGCACGTGGTCCAACGCTGTAAAATGTTAGCAATTAGCCTTGAAGCTTTCCCACATTAGTCAACGTTTCTCTGGTTAAAGTGAGAGAACAACGTTGAGAAATTTCTAATCGCTGTGTTTATGTAAATTGAAATCGAGCTATATTTCTGGTTTCATTTAAACCTCTTGACGTTATAAAACAAACAATATCCAATAAAATCTAAATGAATTACTTTATCTAATATAAATTCGTTTGAATAAAAATATAAACTCTTGAATTAATTATGCATAAACAAATTTATTTCTATGTTTATCGTAACAAGATAGATAATCAAAATTTAATGAAATGATTTTAATTCATTGTAAAGATTTAAAAAAAAAATCAGTTCATAATAAAAACAAATTGCAAAAAATTTACAATTTTATATAAGAGCAAATTGATTAAAACATCAGTAAAATAAAAAGTAGAATAATTCGATTAAATAATATACATTGTCGTATTATTTATTATTAAAGAACGATCGTAAATATGATTTGAAAAAATATCAACAAGAAAAGATTACATTTCGGGATGCAAAAATACAATTTTGACGACATATGACGTGACGAATTGATTGACACAGATATATATCGCGATATATACAATGACGGGTCTAAAAAGCGACGTTCTAGTTAGGAGCAAAGGCTGCCTACACGACAATCATCTCCGATTCCGTCCGTTATCGTCGACGATTCGCAGTCATCAAAATGATTGCACCCGATTACACGATTGCGTTAGCGCGTGCGGCATGCGTTATCATCGTTGCTCTCCTCATTCAAGTTTTACGTAGATACTGCATCATCAGCATCATCAGCGAAAGAATATCGTCATCATTTTGTCTTATGTTAGTTCGAACACCCTCATACTTGAGATCACATAAACACTCTCTTATTAAATTGAGATTAGATATCGGAACGATGACATCTTGATTAGTCGAATATTTCAACGGATAAATACGATCTTAATGATCATTAAATTAAGAATAAACAATTCAATCATCTGAGTATTTTCATTTATATGTCAACAACAATTTGAATTGATTAGTATAAATATTTATAATAGAATCTAATGAAAAAATAATTGAAAGAAAATAATTTTTGAAATAATTCATTATAATAATAAATATTAGTCTGTAATATCTATCATTAAATTAATAATACAAATAATTTAATGTAATAATAATTATTATTAGAGAAGCAAATTTTGAAAGAAAAAAAGAAAAATCAATCGGGATAATAATTGTTTCTAATTTAAATCGATTTATCTAACAATTATTAAAAAGAAGACATTTTTCAAAGAGATGTAAATATCTCTCAAGATACTGTGTGACATTTTCTTTTGTTTTGTTTTACCACTTTCTCTCTCTCTCTCTCTCTTTCTCACTCTTTCACTTGACATACTATATTACTTCCTTACATTCTTATCTATTTGTACAGTTTTCCTTGTTCATTCACACTTCTCCACTGCGATTATCCCCACATGAGTGTGTGTCATCGGCTTCGTTCTGACCTACGACCCCCCCGCGATAGCTTCGACCGAGATAGCATGATCAAGACTCAGTCTTCGCTAGCACGCGAGTGACAAATCTTTCAAATAGTCAAATAGATTTAGACGTTTTAGAACTTATCGTATCATAAAATTATTTTTCTTAACTCTTTGATAAAAATGAAAAAATCGAAATTTCTCATTTATCATTAATGTTAAATGTTATTTTTTTTTTTTTACATTAATTTACATAAGCGAAGTTTATTATTATTTTTCTTTTACATGTTATAATAAACAAAAATAGGCAAAGTTTTGTTAATAAGTTTAATTAATCAAAAAAATAGAATGTTACTTTTGTAACAATTAAAATCTTGGTTCGTTTATAAAAATCTAGGAACTTGTTATGAATTTTAACGGTCTTAATTAAAGCATCGAATTAAGGACAACTAAAATTTAGATACACTTTTCGAAAACGGCTAGGGAGAATAAAAAAAAAAAATAGAAACAATTTATTTCAACTATCGTCGGTCGTTACTCGCAATTGACGATATGGAAAGATACGTTTTTTTTTTTTTTTTTTCAAAGTCCGATAGCGATTGTATACAAAAAACGTCACTCTATCTACATATGTCACATGACAGCTTTCTAACGATAAGTAGTTCTCCATGTACTTATCCATGGTCAGATTTCTCATTAATATATATTACCAGATGTAAATAAAAAAAATTCTATTAAATCTAATTTTTGTTAAGATAACATTTATCGCTGTTTATAGAACACCGAAGTTCAATGAGAATTTTATTACTCGATGTTATGATTGGAAACAAAATAATATACAAAAATTATTAGTAAAAACGAATTATAATTGAAAATAATTGAAAACAAATGATTATCGTGAAATTAATAACAATTCGCGTCAATAAGTAATATAAATACGATAAAAATTTAATTCCGTGTCATTGAAAATCCATAGAAAATTCCACGAAGAATTTAGATGGAATTCGTTCGTGATAACAAGGTCCCACGTGTACAGTGAGAAAGATAGAAAGAGAAAGAAGAGAAATGAGAGAACATCTTTCGAGGGAGCTTTAATGTCGTCTCATTAACGAGAACGAAACTTTCTTCAAGAAGCGACAGCTGCGTCTGAGCATCAATTTCGAAGACCTTTCGTTGATCGACGAAAAGAGAAGAGGAACGGTTGTTAAACATATAAGAAAAAGAACGAGAGAGGGAGAAAAATGATGGAGAGAAAGATGAAACGAACTCAAAGCACGTTTATGCGAACGCAAACAACCATCGGTAAGCGTCAGCTAACTTTGAACCGTCAAGCGTTGTTGTTGGGTGAATGACATCTCGACGCATTGAAACGCGCTGAAACGAAACGCGTGCTGTTGAACCTTTCTCTCTCTTTCTCTCTTTCTCTCTTTCTCTCCCTCTCTCTCTCTCTATCTTTCTCTGTATACGTCCTATAGAGCTCGTTCATCGAGCCTATCAATTACGTCACCGTTGAATTTTGCTCGTGGCACGTGCTGACAATTTACCTGTTGACCCAAACCCCCCTCCACTCGTTTCTCTTCATTCAATTATTGATATTTTTCTTTGCTTTTCTTTTTTTTATTAATCGCTATTAATTGTTTTATTTTTTAATATTTATTTCCCCTTTCCCCCTCCTCCTCCGAGACAGAAAATGTCAGAAAGGTAGATTTATGTATATTCGTAATCGTATTTGTCATGGAAAACGATGAAAAAGAGAAATAGAATAGATGTGGGGGGTGGGGAGGGGTGGAAGAGGGGAACACAAAAGAAAAGATAGTAAAGGTTCGCTGGTGGCTCTTTGCGAAAAAAAAATGATCCCTTTTCTATGCCACAAGAGGATAAAGGCGAACGCTCTTTATTAGCTTACGTTAGATCCTTCCAACGTTCTCCTGGATTTCCTCAAGCATTAAACATTAACTGCTAGAGATAATTTCTAAAATGGTATATAATGGTTATGACTGCGACAACGAGTTTTTTCTTTAATTAATGTTAAATATAAAAGCTTTTATAATAATTATTCAAATATATATTTGTATCATTTTAATTCATTATTTATAAAAATAAATATATATATACATTTTTTTTGCAGATATTCGATATAATAAACACTTCTTTTTTAATAATTATTTTTATCATTGGTTATTATAATTAATAACAATAAAGTGAACATTTGATCAAATCAAAAGAAACATAAAAAAATAAAAGAACATTTTATTTTTCTTATTAGGACAGACAATTTGTATTTATATTTACAATCAGCCGAGAAAATGAGTATGCATTTGAACTATAGTCAAATTTTGATCGTATGATCAGGTTATTGGAAAATAATTGTCCTATATTGTTTCCATTTTTATAAATTAGGATTATTTTTCATGCTTTGGATCTGGTATATAATGTGTCTTTTTCCTATTTTAATTGTACATTTGAAAAGGTAGTTCCGCATACGTACGAGTTCAAAGGTCTTTTTCGCTTAGCGGAGCAGTTTGAGCAAAAGACTCGTTAGTTCGGAACACGACTCTATTGTCTTGCTCGTAGGAATCTCGTTTCTTCGGTAAATGGCATAGTGTAGTTCGGTACGGGGGTACAGACACGATGGCAATTATGGTCATTAACGGGTAAATGCATGCCACTTGAGTCAGATATTTGATAACGTCATCGCTGAATTTTCAAACGTCTCGCGGAATTCACCTGACTAGCGCTACTTTGATTATTTGCGTACTTAAATGCGAAAATTCTCAAAAGTCAAGTCATTTGAATAAGCTTCTCCCTTTCTCGTCGTTTTCAGTTGTTTGACTTTATACTTTGATCTTTCCTATTAAAAAGTCAATCTCGTATCAACTTTTGTTTAACTATTACTTTATTCGTAATTGATCTTAAATTATTACAATCAGAAAGTTCGATAGAAAATAATAAAATTATGATCAAGAAATTTCTAAGTATCTTTAATCTTATTATAATTGAAAGAAAAATCATCTACTCTGGAATGAATTAATTATATTGAAAAATTTATTTATAAGCTGATTGATTCATTCTACATTGAAAGAGAAATCGTGAATAAGTAATATATATATATATATATATCACAATTTATATTGTTGATTTAAAATTACTCTAATAGGAAGATCAATTATTCGACAAATGATATATTATATTTAAGAATTATATTAAAATTGATTTCTTTGATATAAAAACAAAGAGACTTTTGCCGATAATTGACGTATACTTCGTTCAAACGAGTCCAGGTAAATGCAAACGGAGTCCTATCTTTTGCACGGGCAATGCAAAGGTTCTTTAACATTGCCTTCCCATTGGATGATCCGGTGATCGCACCACTCTACACCCACGTCGATACGAGAGCATCAGGAATGATTTATTGGGCTGAGACGGATTCCCCGGAGGTTATTGCGAGAGCAGGTGGAATGATACGAAGCACGTTCAAGGATGCGCTTGATTTCGAGCCGACCCACGTCTTTTTGGCAACTTGGTTAGATGTTGGTTATTATAACGAAAAAAGCGATAAGGTGAATGTTCGACTTTTATTTTATATTACTTAAAAACAAAAAACAAAAAAATTCAACAAAAATATTTGATACTTTCTATATATTTAGTTATTTATATTTCATTTCTTTTCATTCTTATTTCTTATAAATAAAAACATAATAGAAAATTAATTTTATTATAAAATTAAAAAATATTTATTCAAGAAATACAGTACAACAAAGTGATATAAATAATCGTTTATATTTGTTATGATTATTTGGATAAATTTTTTTTTTTATCTGAATATATATATGAGATAATTAAACATTGTAAATACTAAAAATACTACGAAAGATTGTAAAAACGATTCAATTTGTTTCTAAGATAGTACTTTATTGTTCCTAATTAACGTGTGAGATGAAATGTTGTATAATTAATCGTTTGTTTGTAGGTGAATACTTATCAAGTAGCCATCTCTTCGAATGGCACACATTCTTTCGTTGAATTATTATATCCAGAAAATGGAATACAATGGATACAAGCAGAGTCACATCCTAATGGATTACCAGATGCCAAGGCTCAGGCAGGTTTTATGAGCGAAGGTCGAATAACAACATTACAAGGTTCAGGCACTGATCAGATTCAAAATGTAGATAAGTAAGTCTTGAAAGGATTAATTAGAAGGAAGAAAAATCATGATATTACAATCAGTATAGTCTAACAAATTGATATCTTCTTTTTCAATCAGATGGTCAAATATTAACAGACCTGGTCACTGGGCTTTTCAAGTAGGACCAATTGATGAAGGTGAAGATGTCAAGCCTCCTGATAGTATAGAAGGTTATTATTCTCATTAGAATATAATTTTAAAAATTATAGTACTAATCATAAATATAATGAACCGAAAATTGTCTCGATTAGATACCACAAGTGGTAGTCGAATAATGAGTTGCAGAACCGGTGCCACGACTTGTCACAGTAAAGCAACTTGTATTGACTATGAGGTTGGCTTTTGTTGCAGCTGTAAACAAGGATTCTTTGGAAATGGAAAATCTTGTCAACCAAATGGTAAGTTAGTATCACGTGTAACTCGATTCTTATCTCTTAATATTTTATGTATGTTTATTAAACAAAATTTGTACATATTCGAAAGATTTTATGAGCCAGTGATGTTAGAGATTTGTCATTTGATCCTTTCAAATGAAAGAGATCGTTTTGCATAGTTACAATTTAACTGAACAAGGCTCCCTCATGTTTCTCGAGTTCATCTCTGACTACTAATTGACACCATCAAAGAAACGTTCTTTGATGTAGCTCATCACTCGAGAATAAGGAATCTTTTTAAATGTCGTTTCTTCGAAAAGATCTAGCTTAACACAAAGCAACACTGTTTTCGTCGTTGAACAGATAAATGTCTCGTAGTAAATACTCAACTTACAGTAAGTTTTCTCTGATCTATTCATAGTTTACGAGATCTCTCCGTTTCTTGGTAGACACTCGTAAAATGTCGTTCTTACTATTAGAGTACCGTGAAAACTTTTGAACATTTCTTTTGATGAGTATAACGAACGATTTTCGGAATAGATTTATAGTTCATTTTGTATCTTTTTTAAAAGGAAACCTGAACAAGTAATAATATCTGTAAAGATAACAGACGATCCCATTAGAGCTCTCTTTTTCTTAAGATCGATCTTTCAGACGTTCCTCTTCGCGTCATTGGTCGTATTTCCGGTAAGATCAATGAAATTGAATTTCCGTCGAGGGATCTTCAATGCTACGTACAAACCAAAGATGGAAGGACATACACTGCTTTATCGAGGGTACCAGAAGAGATAGGCTCAAGTTTTCAACTTTTGAGTAATCTCGGTGGTGTTATTGGTTGGCTATTTGCAAAACCAATTAGTGAAACTAAAAATGGATACGAACTTACAGGTCTGAATATAATTTATTTTTATTAAATCCTACCTGTCTTACGATCCAATTAATCTTTAATAAATCATCCTAATTCCAAAACTATCATCTATCAATTCATTTCATTATAAAACAACGAACTAGTTTGAATTTATTATCCAATCATTAATTCTCAAAGTTATTTCTAATAGATTCTTTTAGTTCTAAAACAAACMAACTGATTAGAATCAATCATTTGATATCCCTTTAGGTGGTCTATTCAATCACACAGCTGATCTTCTTTTTACGTCCACTAACGACAGAGTGACCATACGAAATAATTATCAGGGATTAGATGTCTTCGGACAATTGAAAATGGAAGCAGAAATAACCGGAAAATTACCATATTTAGAACCAGACACAAAAGTCGAATGCGGAGATCACGATGAAGTTTATACAAGATCGGAACCTGGATTATTGCGTTCTCAAAGTGAAAGAACTTGCAAACTGATGAGTGGATATGGTGAACGTGAATTGACTTTCATGCAGGATCAAACAATCGTTTATAACGAATGTCCATATGCCGAAAATGATTTAGAAGAAGATTCGTCTAGGTTAAAATTCCATAGGGGTGTAACAACTTATGAAGCAAGGGAAGGAATTATTAGATTTGCTGTTAATACAAAGATCGCACCTTTAGAAGAGGAAGATCCATGTATACAAGGTAAAGAAACATGTGGAGAGCACAGTTCTTGTGTCGTTGATGAGGACAGCTTTAAATGTGTTTGCAATCCTGGGTAAGTATCTTAAAGTAATAGATTTTAATATGCTAGAGTTATAATCCTCAAAATTGAACATTTCAAAGTTGAAACAAAATAATTCAAGAAACGATTGATTCGATCGATCTATGTTTGCTAAGATATCAGTACCTTTACGAAGAAGATGGTAGCGCCATTTGCGTGGACGTCAATGAATGCACTGCTGGTAATCACATGTGTTCTCCCGATGCTCAGTGTATCAATCAAGAAGGAAGTCACTCTTGTCATTGCCGACCTGGTTTTTCAGGAGATGGACGAATTTGCGAAAGTAAGCGTTCTTTCTACTTTTTCAACGATCGGTAATTTACAGACTGTCAGTAATATTAAACACAAAGTGTTTATTTGATCTTAGAACTTCCTTCTTGTGAAGATATTCGTTGCCAAACTTACGAGGTGTGTATAATAATAGAAAATACACCGACTTGTATTTGTTCTCCTGGCTTTGATCAATCTGATCAAGGCTGTTTCCCCATTAAACATGGTAAGTTTTATTTATTAAGTAAACTTTACCAATATACGGTAACAATATATTTTGTTTTTATCAATTTTTATAGTCTCTTGTGATATCGAGAATAATTGTTCGCCCAATGGCATGTGCAGTTTCGATGGAGATAAACAAAAGCACGTCTGTATTTGCTCAGCTGGTTATATCGGTAGGTATTATATCGATTTCATTTAATTCACATATCATCTAAATAATTGATTTTATTTTTTGAATATCAAGGAGATGGATACACTTGTTATTCTGAAAATGATACGATAACGGAAGATACACTGCAACCGCAATGTTCAAACGACTCTTGCTGGTGTCCATCAGGATGGAAATTACAAGATGACATATGCATCAGAGAAGAGGACGGTTATACAACTGTTGACTATATACGAGATTGTAAGTTTTCAAATTAATCAAATCTTTTAATGAACTCAATTCGTTTCCTTGAAATATGAATTTTTGGGATTTATACTGACCAAGGTAATGAAATTACTTCGCGAATGACAGTTCACTTAATGCTGAATTTTTCGGCATGTCTGAATTAACGAAGCATGTAGTATACCTTTGCTTGATATTTACGAATTATTATATTTATTTCAATCTTTAATGTGTTTGCAGTTTTACATTGAATAAAAAAAAAAAAAAAATAGAACTAAAATAAAAGAAAATTAAATGAATTAGTTAAGAAATGTATTGCACGTTTAATATAATAGAATTAAAGCATTTTCGATCAACCAAGCAGAAAATATCTGGCATGAAGACTATTGCTAACGATCTATGGTTTCTACTGCATCGTACATTTTAGTATCGGCACGTCCACTTCCGGAATGTTTCGAAGATGACTGCATATGTCCATGGGGATACAATTATGGTCTTCCAGAGAAGATTTGTATTCCTATCCCAGGGTTCAACCACAATACAATGGGTCCAACTGGATTTCACCGTACGATCCGCTCCCGATAGGCTTGAGCAAGTTTAATCTACTAACAAACATTTCAAATGCTTTTGCACCATCCTTTCGATTTTCTTTGATAATATTTTTCATTACAAATGTAGTATAACTTCAACGAAGATAAAATATCATCGTTGATCATTCGATCATTTTATTATTTTTTAATATTATTCATAAAGCTGCCTGGCAAAAAGGCAATCTGTTATAATTGCTTCATGCTTGTCTCTAGCATCATGCAACGTGGTGAATAGATGCCATCCTTACGCTCAGTGCGTCTACGTACCAATCACTGGTGATTATGAGTGTCGTTGCAATACTGGATACGATGGTGACGGTATAGAATGCACGAAGAGAGGTAAATTAAAACAATTAAAGCATCGTGTTTTTATAAACAAATAGAACCATTTTTTTCAAGACAAGTACATACATTCACGTATTATATATAATCCAAGGAATATTGTCGAGGTACGTTATAAAATCGATCATAAAAGGCAAAACAAACTTGTTATTTTCTGAACAGAGGTGTCCTGTATGGATGTCGACACATGTGATCCAAATGCTTCATGCCAATACGAGGAACCCATCGCAAAATGCATCTGCAATCCTGGATTCGAAGGCGACGGAACAACCTGCAGTCCTATTGGTGCATTGAGTCATCCAATTCTCTCTCTTTCTCTCTATTCTCTTTTTTCTTTTTGTTATTTCAATTCTTTAACTTCAATTTTCATATAAAGTTCATCATCATTTTTTGTTCCATTTCTTTATAATTTTTGTTCAGATTTTATATATATATACAGATTGATTATTATTATTTTTGTTGTTTTGTAATTTTTAATGTGATGATTAACTCTGATAGGCACAATATTATTTTTAATTATTTAGACGAATGCAACGATAATTCGGATTGTATGAAGAACGAGAGATGTACGTACAATCCAACGAGTTCTCGTTACGAGTGCACCTGCAATCCAGGTTTCAGTATGGTAGACGGTCAGTGTGTAGTTGCGGATTGTTCGACGAATCCATCGCAATGCCACGTTAACGCTCAATGTGTTTCCACTGGTGATGGCGGCTTCAAATGTTCTTGCATCGATGGATATCACGGTGATGGTGTACGACAGTGCATCGAAGATCACATCGGTTGTAATGTTATATTCAATTGCGGAAAATTTGCAGCATGTGGTTATAACCAAACGACGACAAATTACGTTTGCATCTGTCAGAAGGTTCGTTGAAGTTTTACTTTTCTAAACAAATATTTAACTCGTTCATTTTAATGTAATATCATTTTTTAATTTAATCGAAATATCTAAAAAATTTATTTATATTTGTATATAAACAAATAAGCATAAAAAAAAGTATATTTGTATTTTAAATAAAACATATTTCGCTTGAAAGTAAACAGCTCTTTGGAGTTTACCGATCGCGTTATTTCAAATTTACGATAGTAAATATGTGTAAGCTTTTGACGAAAAATTTTTAATAAAAAGAACATTTTACCTGAAGAATAGGGAGTTTAAAAAAAAAAAAAAAGATTTTTATTGATAGATAAAATTCACTAGATCAGCAGTCTATGGAATGATGTATTTATTCAAATGAAAAACGATGAACAAGCGTAATAAATTTTTTTTCTTTTTTATTCTAAAAATAGTTAATACAGCGAACGATTCGATATATAATGTAAAATATTTCCTTGCCATACAATTCTTCTTTCTTTATTCTTATTCAGCAATCGAATGAGATTATTTTGGAGAATAAAGTATAATGATTGATCCTTAAAGAGTTTTATATATATTATTATTATATATAAGAAACATATATATTCCGAAATGGTAATAAACATTTTGATACGTTTTATTTTAGGGTTATTACGGAGATGGTTTCACCTGTTTACCACAGTCGTCCTGTAAACGAGACCCAAGTCTCTGTTCTCCAAATGCTAGCTGTGTACCAGCAGGAGACAATAATTTTGCATGCGTTTGCAACGATGGTTATACTGGTGATGGTACTAACTGTCGAACAAGACCCAAACACGACGCAAATTTCCTTTTGGTTAACCAAGGAATGGCAACTTTGAGGATACCATTTGTACCGACTCCAGATAATTTAGGAAGTCCGATACACATAGCATACACTCAGATGTCTATTGCAGTGGATATTGATTGTTCTAGTGGAAAAGCTTATTCCAGCGATATAACTGGTACGAATAAATTTTTTATTATTATACAAAATTATACGTTTGTTAATTAGGAAACAAGTAAAGAAAAAACTTTATTGGACGTATTTATTAAAAATATGTAATTGATCGTGGTTTGATTTCAATGATCGGGCGTTGATCATCGTTCGTATTTATGCACATACGACAAATATGATCAAGGAAAAAAATAATTAAACAAAGAAAGATATAGATATTTTACAAATAGTAATAATAATTCGAATGCGATCGTACGATTGAAAATAAATAATTCGATCGTAAAAGGAAAGGCAAATTGTCGTAGCGAGATTTGTGGAGGATGAGAAATGAAACACTAATGCAATGCAATTACACGTAGGACGTAACTATTAATGTTTAAACGGTAACCATTGAACCTGCGTTGCAATAAACAGAGAAAGGTTGGAAATAATTCAGAAGGGAACGATACCCGTCGGTTCAATTTCTTTGTTGAGAAAAAGTATCATGGTAATTCGATTATTAAATCGAAGGATTTTCGAGCGGACAATGGTGTTACGATTAAACGTGATTTATAATAGACTTACGTAAATTAGAAGGACAAATTAAAGGAATAATCTATTTCTTTAATGATTTTTTAAATGATCATTTAATTAATTAACATATATTACAAAATTAATGAAAAGAAAATATACGCGTTCATTTATATCGAATATACAATTCTATTAAAACATATTATATTGAAATAAGTTCATTAATTTTGATTATTTTCTTATAATGACGTTATGATTTTTATTTCTCAGGTAACAGAATACTCGAGTTGAGTTATAACGGTTCGATTGCCGACGTATTCATCGATAAGGTCAGTAGTCCCGAGGGATTGTCGGTCGATTGGGTTTCAAGAAATATTTTTTGGACTGATTCCGGAAAAGCCACCGTCGAAGTGGCCAGTCTTGAAACGAAGAAACGTAAAGTCCTTGTCTCGGATGGATTGGTTAATCCTCGGGGAATCGCCGTACACCCGTATCGAGGGTAGGAAAGAATACTAGAAAACGTATAAAAGAGGGAACACTATAGAAAGAAAGATAAATCGCTCGGTGTTGTCTCGTGAAACTATTTCTCAAAGGGGTCGTACATAAAAAGTCGATTAATTATAAGAGAAGATACCTTTTAAATTCGATATACAAGCTGAAACATTTTAAATGAGAACATTTCAGTCAGTTTTCTTGCTTTACGATAATATTTATTAAGTAATATATATATAGAGTTAATTATCTGTCACATAAACGTTGAAACAAATATTTTCTTTAAACATAACTGATAACATTTCATATAGAAGATTTTACTTAATTGCATTTAAAATTTTTATATCAAATACGTTTATTATTTGTTAAAATGATATACAAAATAATATCAATGTATTCCATAACAAATATCGGTTTATATAAGATTGTTTTTTTTTTCTTTTGGTATAAATATGTCAAATATCGAGCCCCATTTATCATTTATCATTAATTAACTTTAAAAGCTTCCAAATGTTAACATTTGATTGTTCCATCTTTTATTATGTATATATAATAGTTCATTATCAATGAGTAGGGTCTTATAAGATTTTAGAAATATTTCTTGATAAAATTTAAATATTATCATTTTCTTGATATTAGTAAAATATTCTGGTCCGATTGGAACCGAGCCTCGCCAAAGTTGGAATGGGCTAATGAAGACGGTACAGGCAGAGAGATCTTTCTTCAAGGAGATTACGTTAAGTTACCAAATTCATTAAGTATCGATTGGTCGTCTGATGAACTTTGTTGGGCCGACGCTGGAACTTTCACGATAAGTAAGTACACACCGGTTGGTTGATCTATTAATTTTCTACCTCCGTTATCATTTCTTACCTCAGCAATATGCTAATATTCAAATATTAACGAATCAATCGATTGATTATTTTTTTTTTATTCCTCTTCTTTCCTACCCTTCCGAAACTTTTCGTTTCTTCTTCATCGTCACAGCTTGCTTCGATATCGATAAGAAAATAGTGAACGTCGTTGCGAAGGACTTGATTTATCCCTTTGGCTTGGCAATCTCTCAGAATCATTATTATTGGACCGATTGGAAGACGTGAGTATTCTTGTCAAATATCAAATCAAATTTTTCGCAAGAGAAATAATATTAATAATAATAGTACAAACAAAATATCGATATTATTCGTACTATCTTTTTTATTTTTTACAGACACAAAATTGAACGAGCTTTGAAGAGCAAACAAGAAATACAACCTGCATTATCGATTCCACCTGGTGGAAATGGCAAACTATATGGAATTGCTGTAGTTCCAGAGACGTGTCCCAGAGGTAGGATGATTTTATCAATAAAATAAATAAAATATATACAAAAATCATCATTGCATTTTTAACTCTCCCTTTTACGAGTTAGAGTCACTTCACTGTTAACATCTTTTCCGCATTTCTTACTATCAAAAATGTCGCATTTTTTTTACAAACTCTTTGGAATCAACAAGATATGGTTATTTGTTTGTTTTTTCAAACTGGTCATCCATCTATGTTATTACTAATTCAAGGTGTTTAGGCTGTTGATTATATACAAAAATAATAAAAAAGGAATAAGAGAGAAAAGAGCAAAAGAAATGAATATAATTAAAACGTCTCGCATATTAAGTATACGCATACGACATGATGGTGCGTCAGTCACGCAACAAGTGGCATTCGAGGGTTTGACTTGAAACTCGTAAAAGTCGAGTTTTTGTAATTTTTGAATAAGACCTACCGCCAACAACCTCTCGTTATTCTTTTGATATAATATATACATATATTTATGTATCTCTTTCTTTTTATTTTCCACTTTAACATTAACTTTGAACATTTTTCTTTACGCCCTCTTAGCGAGTATTCATATAATGTAAAATGTTGTTTTTCAAGGACCATGATAATTTATTTTTAAAATAAACACAGAATAAGCATATATATATATATATTTATCTTTGTAGATTTGTTAAAACATTGCCAATTTTTATTGCATTAACATTACCTATTTCCTTTTATTTATATTATTAATATATGTATTATTATACTATATTAATAATGAATTATTCTTTAGAAAATAAAATCAGAAAAAAATAACAAATATTTATTTATTTATTTATTTATTTATTTATATCAGAAAAAAATAATTTACATAGTAATAACAAGATTAATACATAGTAAATCGTATAAGAGTTAAACATAGTTACCTGTACATAGGCTGTTACATACTAAAATTACTAATACACTAAACTAAGAAATATAAATAAATTGAAATAACATCATATAAACTTGAAAATAATTGTCAACAGTGATATATCAGTATTTAATTAAACTATATCACATATTACATTTTTTAATTTACGTTTAATAGTATTATCACATTATGCATCGTGTCTTTGAGATCATTAGATAATTTATTAAATGCTTTAATAGCTACAATGTAACTATTTTTACTACTGAATTCAATGAGTAGTCATTCGTTGTTATTTGTCGTTTTCGTAATTTCCCGTTGGATATTTATTAAAATAAAATTAATTTCATTTGTTAATAGTAACGAACGTCTGCCAATATGCAAATGGAAGGTGCAACAAAGATCAATTATGTTTGCCCGATGGACAAGGTGGTAGGACGTGTGCTTGTGCTGACGATGCTACAGAACCTTGCACGGATTCTAATAATTCTTCGTAGTAGTATTCTCGAAAGAAAAATAACAAAAAGAGAGAGAGAGAGAGAGAGAATAAGGAAGAAGAAAAAGAAGAAGAAGAAGAAGAAGAAGAAAAAAAAAGAAGAAGAAGATGTGAGAAAACGAATCCTAATATTCGATGATAACGAAGCTAGGATAGCATCTGAAAAGTTCGTGAGAGAAAAAAGACGTTTCAGACACAAAAAAAAAAAAAAGAGAAAAAAATAACAGGAAGAGAGAAGGAGGAGAGAGAAAGAGATAGTCGACGTTCAAAGTATCCATTTTATTATTAGATAATATCTAAATTATAAAAAAAGTTATTTTTAATATTAATTAGATATTAATATCACTCGACCTACTTTAAGTAACATTACTCTCTTTTATGCTGTTTTTCTCTTCTTTTTTTCTTTTGATTTGTTTTTCTTATTTTATTTTATTTTTATTATTTTATTTTATTTTTTTTTTCAATTTAATATACATTAGATAGCAGTTTATAAATGAAGCTGTATGTGTCAGCCGCGTTATTTAATAAAATTTAAAAAAAAAAAAAAGAATTGATAATTCGTATTGAACATTCCGCAAATTTTTCCATTTCGCAAATTCCGTTCCTTTCCCCTCCCCACCCCATCGGCATTTTTTCTTTTTCACATTTTTATTGTAGAAAATAGCTAAGAAGCATGCTGAGATTCTACAATATATTGTCTATTTTAGAAGATTAGGACTACCTTGGTACGAAATACCTTCCAGTTGTAATTATTGTTGTCTCGAAAATGCAGTAAAGTATGTGATAATAGGTTTAATAGAAAATTATTCTTTGATAGTGTTAATTAACAAAGTTCTATTTACAACACAAGGATAAATATAGCAATGGTATGCTTAAGCGTGCTATATGGTTTATTATTTTCTAGGGGTTTTTTTTCTTTTTCGAATAAACCACGAGAAACAATTTTAAGTTTAAAGTTTATTCGTATCGTAAAAAAAAAAAAAAAACCAAAACGAAAACCAAATAACGTTTACAATGTGAAATATCGTAATATATAAAAATATTAATAGGTTGGTTGGCATGAGGTACCCAGTTGTGCAGAAAAACTTCGAAAGTATAGCCGCGTTAGTTTGCGATAGTAAATGGTTATTTCAAAGTTTATTATTATTATTACAATTGCCTTTGAGAAAACATTTTATTTTAACAAAAATTGTACGATATTATGAAAAATAATCAAGATATTCTATCACGTTCAACATTATTTAATTGTGTATAATACATACAATCTCGTTGTTCGTTACAGTATACTCATTAGCGAGCTTATTTTTCGCTGACGATACTAAATTAAGCTTGTATAAAAATAATGAGAGTGTAAAAAAAAGAACAAAAAAAAAAGGGTCGTTCAATAATATGATAAAAGAAGATAGAGGGTTATGAATGTAAGAAAAAGGTACCAAGGTAGAGATAAGACAGTGACCTCGTAGACTGACTATGAATCTTATTGTTAGACAACTCGACGAAATTTTTCCTCTGAGTGGGAGAAGAATTTTTTTTTTTTTTTTTTTTAAACATGTCTCCTGAGAGTTCTTTTCGTTCGCGTTGTAGAGACTATCTTCTATAAAAGAAAAAAAGAAAAAAAAAGGGGTGGAATGAAGAATGTCGCATTCTGCAATCTTAGAAGAAATCTTCATTTTTGTTTTCTCTTCGGTGAAAAAGATTGGAAAAAATTTCATGTTATTTGTTGTTGGTATATTGAGAATTATTGTTGTGTTTTTTTTCTCTTTTTTTTTTTTTTTACAATCAAATAATTATCTCAGAAATTAGGAAACAGGATTGATATTTATATTGCATTAGAACGAATACATTAGAGAAGCTTCTTTATCGTGTATTTATCATTAAGTATTTATTTACGCTGCAATTGTCAAATACACAAACGTTGATCTTCTTTGAATTGAATTTATCGATAGAACTATATATATATATATTTCTTATTGATCTCATGTGACTGTTAATACTATACTATTTTAACTAATCTCTCTGCAAAGTCCAAATACACCTAGCTATTAGAAGGATAGACCGAAAGAGCTTTTAACTGATCTGTTACTGTCGATTAATTCTATCAAATGTTTCATGAATTTGAAATGATAATTTATCGAACGGAAAGAGCAGTAATTTGATTGGAATCTTCTCATCTGAATAAGTTGATATTTTTGTTTGTAAGATAACCATCTTAATAATTAGTTTCTGTTTGTTTTAGATCGAAATGTAAATATATCCAAGTCTTAAGTACATTTCATAATTGACAAAGAGTAATTGGAGAATGTATAATGTATGTTCTATTCTTGTTCTAACAATACATTCAATTCAATGAACAAAGTCTACTTTTAGTAGAAATTCGAAGTTAGCAAAGATAATATAAATAAACGTGAATAAACTTCTTGTTATACGAATTACAATATTTCGATGTTTATATGTATAGAAAATATGTAACATATATTCAATTTAAATATAAATACATAAATAAAATATTGTACGTTTATACGGTCACGAAATAATTTTCACTTTTCGTATTATACAAGTACACGTGCATGCGCTTTCTCAAAATGCCTGTTTATAAGAACTTAATCTTCTAAACTTCCACGTTGTAATAATTAAAGATATATTCTGTTATTCTGTTACAATGAAGATTAGCGTGTTGTTCGAAAGTTAAGAATTAAGATTTTGAGTTGTTCTTCCTTCGGTCTTTAGTATTACACTTTGCTTGTTCTTACTTTTAGGTAACTCGTATTTCGATATTTCTCGGAATTTTATTGCTGGGATAGATTTTGTGCATTTAAAATGTAGCGAGGACCAGCTTTCTCTTAAATAAACATGAACAAGGGTTTTATAATACTCTATCGACACTTAACAATAGAATCAGCTATCCTTGTGCGCCGTATTTAATCTTCCAAAAAAAAAAAAGAGGAAGTGGGTGGAAGTATCTATTTCTTTGTTAGACTTTTTGTTGTTGAATCAAAGGTTATATATCTTACAGATTATTCTCTGAAATACTTTACAATTTACATTTTAACCGAGTATTGTCGAAACAAATACTATAAAAAACAAAATAAAACAAAAATATAAAATAACAAACAATGATTGAAACTTTTCTATTGATTGAGAAGAATTTGAAAGTGTCGACGTGAAAATAGCCTTTCACACTGTATCCGTAATTCGTCTCCGATTTTCAATTTGCGTGGCGGGGTCCAGTTTCAGTCGTTCGCTAAAGGAGAGAGCAAATGAACGTACGAATTGAAAAACGTCGGTATTCTGGGTATGTCATTGACGTCCATTCGATCGTACAGTTGATGAGAGAAAGAGAAAGAGAGAGAAAGAGAAAGAGAGAGAAAAAGAGAAAAGGGAGAAATATTCTCTTTTGGGTTTCTCACTTCGATTGCAACGAATGCTGTATTACCTTCTCTTTTTCTATCGCTTTACTACATCATGATTATTTCAAACAAATTTCTAGTCGGTGCGATTGTATTTTCGATCAAAAGACCGTTAATAAGGTGAAAGAATTGAAATGCTTTTATTCATAGAACAAATGGACATTGACATAATCATTACGTGCTTTTGAATTGTTTTTAACTTTTCTAATTACACTTAAATGACAATAAATTATTAAATATTCCTATGCAGTCAAGTTGTTAATATTTTCTGAAGGATTCTCTCGTCATTTGATTCTTCTAAAATATTCTATAATAATTTCTCATTTATTTAACTGCATACATTGAATTATATGAAAAGTGCCAATTACAATGATTTCTTCAGTAAAGCATAATGCGTTTGACTCGTTTAAAATCTACCGTTTATTGTTAGTCGAATATCTTTATCAAATTTTCTATCTATCTAGATAAAAGTAAACTGACTTATTTACAATCATATATATATATATATATATATATATATAATATTATATCATGGAAACAAGGGAAAACGAATAATAGAAAAAAATTCAATGTGAATTTTAGAATTCGAACATCAATTAGAAATTTCCTATGGCGAATTTTACGATAATAAATTGTTCTTATAATCACTGCAATAATTGTTATCAACCAACGTAGTTCTGTAAGATTTCAAGAATGATTTAGAATCTGTACGAGAGATAGACTCCGAATGAATTATCTTTCTAGGTGAAAGTTCTTTTTCTTCCGGACAGATTATACAAATGAATTGGTTAAAGAGACAAATTAATGGAAATAACTATTTGAAGTATAAACGTATACTAATATAATATAAAAGTATTGTTTTATCTGTTGAAAAATCTTGTAAAAATAAAAAACACGTAGAGGTTGTAAATAACGAACTCGTGTGGTTCATAATCGGAGTTATCAAAATGTTTTTTTGATATTTTACGTTCGTATGACGGCTGACTACTGATTGACCGTGACTACTTCATGCATTCACATATACGTTGTTGTACGACTACGACAATATTTTATTGCAATGGGAGCATGTAAAACTAAATAAAAAGAAAAAAAGAAAGAGAAAGATAAAAAAAAAAGTAGAGAGAAATGAAAGAAATGAGATAGAAAGATAGATAGGGTAAAGGGAAAGATAAATAGTGTGGGAGAAAGAGATAGAGAAAGTTTCCGAGAAATATAGGGACAGAAAGAGACAGAGAAAGTGAAAGGGAAATAGTACGAAAAAGAGAGAAAGAGAGATAAATAGGGTAGAGTAAGTTTAGGGATGGATAGTGGTAGAAAGAGATAGAAGGAGTGGGGGTTGAGCGAGTATGTGTGTGTGAGAGAGAGAGAGAGAGAGAAGGGGGATGGAAGCAAAGTAGTAGTCGGTAGTCAGTCGGCGGGCGAACACCGCGTGCGACGCATCGCATTCGCTCTTACTTCGCGTTCTGGCTCTTTATAGATCTTTGACAACGTGATCTCGCGCTCCAACAGAGTGCAACACGTGTGGTAATAATTTCTTTTTTTTTATTTTCAAAAACAAACAAAAATAGAATAAAGAGTAAGAAGGAGAGAGATAGAGAGAAATAGAAAGAGAGACAGACAGAGGGAAGACTGAGGATAGGAATGACGATAAAATTCAGAGGCACGTTTTATCTTTGAAATTGTTTGTTCATCTCTACGTATTCATTGTGTGTTTTTTAAACATGAATTTCGAATGAGTATAACTATTTTTTTTCTTGTTTTTTTTGTATTTTATGATATTGATGTTTTTCTTTCTTTTTTTTTTTAATAGACATATCTTTATCGTCAGTCCCTATTTCTCTTATCTTGTCTTAAGGAAAAAAAAAAGGGATTTTTAATATAGCGTGGCGGAAAATCAAGCATGCACCGGTCCGAACGTTTCTCACGATAGAAGCTCGTTCGTGGCAGCGATCTGGACCGATGCACGCCGGAGACAAAAATATCTTAGAAAAATCTCGGCTCTCGGCCAAGTGGCCTCGAGGTGGAAAAAGAGAAGAAGGAGGAGGATGAGGAGGAGGAGGAGGAGGAGGCATACTCAGCCATAAGCGATTCTTTGATAAGATTATTTAGTGGGTGACTTTTGTTATCTTGGACAGGCAAGATGTATAAAGAGATAACAGAGAGAAAAAAGGAAAAATGTAGATGGATAATGATTGAGATAGATAACACAGAGGACAAAGGCGCGTCTAAGCATTACTATTCTTTACACGTGAAATCCCTTCGTGAATTCTTTTTAATATATTTTCATTTGAAACCTAGAGAGAGATATCCTTATCCACCGTCTCCTTCCCACACATGCCCCCAACTACAAATTGTTATTCATTTTGAAAAGACGAAAAGGTAACGGCTTTGTTTAAACGATGAAAGACATGTCGACAAATCTCGATAAAGGGGATGGATAGGTTCGTTCGTTCGTTCGTTCGTTCGTTCATTCAATCGTTTGTTCAAGCACAAATGTTTTATCATTCAAATAGATTTATATATTGTACAAAAATTATACTGGTAGTATACTACGGAATGAGAAAAAAAAAAACACGTTGTTAAGATATATGTGATTATTTTGTCGTGGTACGATTTCGTCGTAATGTTCTACGACGAAAAGAAATCCCAAGTGGATTATCAAAATTGCAATGGTGTTACATGATTTCAAAGACGTCCACTTTATTAGCTGAAACAATATTGGAATCTTTTCTTGGAATATAAATGTTCCTAAGTAAACGTCTGTAATAGTCCATGAAAGATAGATTGATGATATGACTGTATAAATTGTCGATATTCTATAAAGAATTTAATGTAGATACAACGTTTATTCAAGTATGAAAGTTTACATTATTAATTTCATAATGTAAACAATTATTATATATATATATATATATATATATCGCCTAATTTAAATGTACAAATTACTTATTCATATTTATTTGTTGGAAAAAATTCAAACGTTTAAATGTAGTAAATTTAACGAGAGAATTTTTTTCTAAATTCTCTCTCTCTCTCTCTCTTTCTTTTTCTTTTCTTTTTTTTTTTTTTTCTTGATTTTTCCGTATAACGACATTTTCTTCTATAAAATAAATTAAAGAAGGGGGGTGGGGCTAAGACGATACTACTTCATTCGTGAAATTAAGAAAAGACTCGTGATTGTTACTCGGAGATATCTGAAAAGATGAGAATGCTGATTGAAATTGTTCTATTACGTGCATGGAAAGTTAAGTACGAAAGGATAAAAAGTGATAGAAAAAGGAATAAACTACGAATAGAGATGTATTGAGAGAGAAAATAAAGTTGTACATTTATTCGAACAAATTGTTTGCTTTAAACGCGGGAATGACTTTTCTTCGTGATTATGCACGTTTAAACGTACCTGCCAACGAGATGAACGAGTAAGGTGAGAGGAAAATGTGCCGTTGGAAAAAGTAGAAAAATGTGAGATAGAGTGGTTTTAAGAGAGAGAGAGAGAGAGAGAGAGAGAGAAAGAGGAAAGGAAAGGGAAGAAGAATTTACAGTGATAGAGGCCGGACCATTGCTGGAGTTGTTTCTTGTCACCGACGAACCTCCAAGCCGTTTTTATCCTTTATCTCAGATTTGTCGACGTTGCTGCCGACTAAAGGACCCTCTTTCCAACAAACCCCCTTTTTTTATGTTTTTCATCGGTGAGAAAAAAAAATGCATTCACGAGAGAAACATAAACGCTGACTATTTCTCTAAAGAACAAACTTTATTTATTTTTATACCCTTTTTCCTTGTTATGGTCTCGTATTTTTAATAGAGAAACGTTAAGGTACTTCACATTGATAAATGAATTAATTTACACATTAGTATTAAAGCATTTTATTAATCGTACAATTCAAGGCTATCCATATCTTATTTGCTCATTTGGTAGAATTATTTTACAATAGTAGTGTGTCAAACATATTAAAGCTGACGTACTATAAGCATCAGTTGATATCTTTAATGTTAGGATTTTGATGATAATCATTTTAATATATTAATTCAATGATAATGCGCGAGAGTAATATTACTAATAATAATTATTATAATTATTGAAAATTAATAAATGAAAATGATAAAATGATACGAAAATATGTATTCAACATTTGAATATATTATTATATAAATGTGAGTAATTGTTTTCTATTGTTAATTCTTAAAAATAGTAAGAATAATTTAACGTGATTGATGAAAAATCATTATTGATATTTCAAGAACTAAAAATATATACCTTGTTTTAATTCATTAAAAAAACATTGAATTTATTCGTTTATCATTAAAAACGTTTATTAATTAAGTTTAGTCAATCTTATTACTTAGGGTTTCTTAATTCTTCTACGTTTTAGGTGTATCCTCGTTCATTAGATCCTATATTAACTCTCATTAGTTTTATTTGGACAGTTTTGAATGAAACCTGGATGTCTTGAAGTTACTAATTACGTACATTTCAAAGACTGGACAATTTGTCCATGGTGTTGTTGCTTTCTCGAAAATTTAATAAGAAAGTTTAAATAGCAAAGATCTTAGAAATAAAGAGGGAGAGAGAAAGAGAGAGAAAGAGAGAGAAAGAGAGAGAAAGAAACAGAGAGAGAGGAAGAGGATTTTGCAACAAGAAATACGAAGAGAGGACCGAGAGGCAAAGAGATAACTCGTTGAACGAATGGGTTATCGGTTTTCAATTTAGTCACCCGCACTTTAACACTTTCCTTTGCGACGTAGTATGATCATCTGATGTGTATGTGCACATAAACATATATCTAGAGTCATGTGTATAAATTCACATACATATACATAAGTATTTGTACAAAATAGTTTAAAAATTAGCAATTTATTATTGTGAAATATTTTTTAACTTAAATGGTCAATGGAGTGTTCACGAATTATTACCTTTACGTGAATTCCATTAAATAACATAAGCTTGAAAAAAAAAAAAAAAACAAGATTATTCTATACGTAGTAAATATATTTGATTACAAAACTAAAAGATAATGGTGAGAAAAAAAAAGGAACTTTAAATACAAAAAATGTTAATATTATTTTAATTAATTTATTATTATGAATATTGTTAGAGTGTTGTGTGGAATAGTTTGTGGAAATAAAATGTGGAATAATTTTAAAGCAACAATAATAAATCAAACGCATCAAATTTGTGATTAATGCTTCAGTTTTGAAAAGATTTATTTTTCAATTGTTAATTGTGTGTTTCGTATTTATTAAATTTAAATAAAACATATCAATTTTTTTCTTTGTTTTTTTAAACATTTCTTTAAAATAATCTACTTAATTAATTATTCGAATAATTTATCACGTAACGTTAAAATACATATCAGTTTCAACATTTTGTATTTCATCACAAAGATTATTTCACAATATTTTCTTCTTTCTTTTTTCAATTTTCCGTGTTCAACTCGATCATAGTCTAAAACAAGCCGACGTATTATATCTAACTCAATCCGATTTTCCTCTCTCTATCTATCTATCTATCTATTTTTCTCTATTTCTCTCTCGAATCGACATTTCTCACTCGAAAGAGTCGCCCAGTTTCCGGCATTTTTTCTTCACGAATCGAATCCTACAAATCGACAGAGTCGCGAACTGGGCTTCGAACGTACCGCAGTAAATTATTTTTTGCTTCGTTATCTCGCCATTTTTCTCTCTTCTTCTCTCCCCTCACCCTTCCTCCCTCTCTCTCTCTCTCTCTCTCTCTCTTTCTCTATCTTTCTCGTCGCATAGTCGCGATACCACAATCCCTAAAATATTTATGCGCATAGATATCGCTATCACGTGCGTCGGATCGTACATTCTATACGAGACAACACACCAAATCGATAATATCGCATTCGTTCACAAACATCTAGCAGCGTGACGTACTGAGATCGAAAGTATACGTAAATAGGATGATGTGTATCAAAAAAATGTAGATGTTCTTACAAAGTCAGAAGAAACGTTAGAAAATTGATAAAATTCTATTAGAATAACGAGCATTATCTGTTTATAAATACTATCGAATATTTGTCATATAGGTAAAAAAAAAAAAAAAAGAAAATGAATAAGAAAATATAAGAACGATTATTATTTAGTGTTTACGGATGGTGCGTGAGAGTTCGGAAGTAAAGAGTGAAGAAAAAAAAAAGTTAATCAAGTGTAACTGTGAAAAAGATAAAGTTATGTTAGAATATGTTTTAGATTATTAGTGTGTTAAGAACGTGTAAGTGTTTTAGCAAAGATTTTTTATAAGAAGAAAAATCGTTATCATTAACGTGTTCGGGATCCCGAACTCCGTCGTCGATCCGTACGGCGGAACGGTCACGAATTGTCGAGCGATAAATGAATGTTGTTACGTCGGTTAGTCGTGAACGTGACGGTGAAGAAGAACAAGAAGAAGAAGAGGAAGAAGAAGAAGAAGAAGAAGAAGAAGAAGAAGAAGAAGAAGAAGAAAAAGTCGAGGCACGTTAGCATCACTCGATTTAAATTCATAAATGTGCGAGAGGAGGAGCCCACAATGGTGGCTCGAGTCCCGCAACAAGTTCTACTGCTACTCGTACTCGGTAAGTGGAACCAGAATTCTCTTCCTCTCTAAATTTAGGCCTCTCGCCCGGGTTAACACGATCGTTCTGCGACACCTTGACAGTACACCCAAAGTCTATGATTTTACGAGTTTATTCAAGAAAACTTTGTCAAATATTTCTATGTGTGTGTGTGTGTGTTTGTGTGTTTGTGTACTGTGTGATTTTTATATATTCTTTAAGTAAAAGTAAGTTACTAAAACATGATAGACACGTTACAAAGAACGCTATTACCAATGGACGAGTTTAAAATAAACATATTTTTAATATAAATTATACATGAACATTTGTTTATAATATTATAATACAATAACGTTTGTTAATTATGTGTTATATGTTTTAAAATGCTTTTAAGATTTCAACAATATGACTATGTACCTACTCGCGTACTACACTGATATATTCTACTTTATGTCAGTTATAATTGCGATTTTCTTGTGCTAGGTAAAAATACAAAAGATGGAAAAAACTTAGCCGACGAAAGGCAACGTAATTTACAGGGAGGTTGTAATTCGAGGACTGTACCGTTGCTCACGTTAAAACGCACGAAAGCTCGCGTTTCTGGTTCCTACATACGTTTTTATGTTTCCCCTCTTCTTCTTACTCTCTCTCTCTCTCTCTCTCTCTCTCTCTCTCACACACACTTCCATTCTTATAAAAAAAAATGCACTTAAAAAAGAAGAAAAAGAGAAGGAGAGAAAGAGAGAGAGAGAGAGAGAAAAAGAGAGAGAGAAAAAAATAGTAAAAGAAAAAGTAAAAAGAAATAACGTTATAATCCGGTGCTACGGGAATTCTTGTTTCCATCACACTTTTCATCGTACGCCCTTGATCTCGTTTCCGGAAAAAGATTTCGAATTTTATGTTATTTCCTGGTTGCTCTTCGAAATCGTTTTAAAATCAATATTAACAGTAAAACGTTCTTTTTCCAAAATGTCTCGTTAATTTTCCGTATTCTTCTTTTTATTCTTCTTCATCTACTTCATCATCTTGTTTTTGTTCCTATTTTATTTCTTTTATCAAAAAGAGATTTTACTTTTTTTTTCTAGAAATATTCCAATAGAGGAAGATAGAAAGAGAGAGAGAGAGAGAGAGAGAGAGAAAGAGAAAGATAAAAAGAAAGAAAAAGAGATAGAGAACCATCCATCCATTCCTTCGAAGTGCAATAACGTGAAAGTAATAGTAGAAGTTTAATTAACCAGCCTCTCGACAAGGGTAGAAATGAATAAAGTTTCGTCAAAGAAAGGGCACGAAGGGTGTAGAAAGACCGACGTTTAGGAAGAGCAGGAAAGGAACCAGTACTTTCGTTCGTTATAATCAAACGGTGCAAGTAGTGAGTACCTGTCTTTAGTCAGACCTTCCAACGAGCTCGATCATGCGCAATGATAACCTGTCGAATGCAATAGGAAGAGAGTGGGTACCAATAGCAATTAAAATCTAACTTTCTTACTACTTATAATGTATGCCATAAGTATATATATATTTGATTACTTACTCGACTACTAACAGAACTATATTATAAATCATTTTACTAATTAAACGCAATTTCGTGAATATTATCGTGAATTCAGTGTTTACATATTCTAATAATTTTTATGAAGTAAAAACAACGTTTACTTATTCGAAAAAGTTTATTCAACTTTATTTGTTTTATAAATGAAATTCAAATAACGTTTATTCGGTTGTTAAATATATTTACTTTAGAAGATATTCCAATCAAGTTGGTAATAATTTATCTCTAAGCGAAATTTGATTTATTTCCTGTCCTAAGGGAAACATTAGGAGGTTATCATTTGAAATAAGATATATATATATATATAGGAATAGATTATATTATATATAATCTATATATAATGGTACTTGTCGGTGTGTGTGTGTGTGTGTGTGTGTGTGTGTGAAATGAGTATGTATACTATAATCGGTAATATTATACATATATTATACGTTTACAGTATTATGTATCTTTATCGTAACTTTTGATTTTAAACTAATAGCAGGTAAAAACATTAAAAAACAAAAGAACAAGTTTATAATTATAATATATTATTATCGACATTTTTCCACGCATTCATTCTCTCTCGCTACTTTATAAACATGAGACCTGAAAAACGCTACTACGTCGTCAAAGAATATCTCTCGGAAAATTCCTATAGGTCTACTTCATCAAGTTCATATAATTCCGTAAAATAAAAGGTGGTGACTAAAATGAGCGGAAAAAGTTAAAAACACCTCTTGCTTCCCTTTTATGTATTCGACACGACACGATGCAAAACCCTTTTACCTGGTAGACGAATATTTATGTAATATTTATGAAGACAAATGATAGAAAATATTGTTAATAATAATAATAATAATAATATCTGTTTGTATATAATTTCTAACTACATCTACACAAATTATTCGTACAGCTTATGTATCATTAGTTACAATGATTTCGTTAAACATAAAGAGTAATGAGTGATCATCGTATCGAAATACGATAGGATTCTGCATCATTAATTGTTCGTGCACATTCGATAAACAATTCGATGCAGCCGCTTTGGCCAATTTGTGGGTTTACGATCTGGCGTCAGTTTCGTTCGATGGGTCGATTAAACGGTTTATCGACGCGCGAATGGCACATTATTTTCACAAATAGTGATTTTTCCGGATGGTTACGTCATGTTTTACGTGAATATTATCCATAATTAAAGATACGGTATCTGATGTTGCATTCGCGATAGTTGATCGTTATTTATCTTCTATAACGTTTACGATACACCTATTGGCATACTTCGAGTCTATTTCGTAATATGATATATGTGAAATTATTTGTTAGTTTTTAATAGAGAGAGAAAAAATAGCAGGTAAACAAGAAAAAAAAAAGGTGACATAAACGATACGTTCAAATCATTCTTGTTCGAAACGAAATGAATAGTTGTTATAAAAAACAACATTCCAATTTTTCAATATATACCGGTACACGTATACATGTACATTATTGTATGTACAATTTCTACAGATTCTATGAATTTTATGAATACATCTTCGAAAGCAGTATGTAAATTTCTGTGCAACGTTACTCGCCGATATGTGTCACATTGGAAAATACTAATTTTCGATCCAATTGACAAATGCATCCGCAAAAGGGAGGGAGAAACTGATAGGAAACGTTTCATATACGTAAATTATATTCCATATTCATACTTTTGCTCTATGCGGTATAAATAATTCAAATGCATTTATAACACAAGCGCAAATAAACACACGCACATACACACACTATTTCTCTCTTTCCATTTCTTTCTCTCTTACTCTTGATATGTGTGTATGTATATAATTCAATAAATATTACAAATAGGAATTATACTCGAAATTGATTAAACAGTATAATAACAAACACGAAAATGGATAGATTAATCAAATTTGAACGTTTAATCGATCATAAGAGAATACTTTCTCGAGATGATCGCGTAACCGTTTAGAAATGTTCCTTTTGAGATTTCAAACGTTTTCCTGATGCACACGACAACCATTAGTCAACCGTCGAGACGGAAACATCGATACGCTTTCGGCCGATCATAGAGAATGTGCATACGGTTCTAGCCACATCGTTAATACGTTGGGAAACACTCGATAAACGAGGCTACATCGTTTGCCGCAGCCACGCGTGCTGATCGACTTTGGCCAATTTGCGGATTATTCCGTAGCATCGGTCGTTTCAATCGGACTTCAAGCTGCTCAATATTGCCATCCTATTCCTATTTCTCGTCCTACTCTAAAGCTTCTCTACAATTTAGAATTTAGGCAAAGCTTAAATTGTCGAATTTTGATAAATTATCTACAGTGGGTGTAGAAGATAATCATACACCGATCAATTTGAAATAAATGTTGTAAAATTGCAATTTATTAACTTAATTTTTATAAACAATTAATTTTTACATATTCTTGAAAATTTCAACAATAGATATAATGAAATAAGAAATAATTTTTGTGAATAAATCAAAAAATTTACAAAGAACATTTCGTATGCTCAAATAATGCATTCGAGAATTTTGTTAATATCTATAATAATTAAAAATCATAATTTTCTTTTATACTTATCATTTTATCAAATAATTATTTTTTATATTTTTTTTTTTTTTTTCATTAGGAAAAACTATTTTTGAACAAATTCTAGATAAATCACTTACTTGGTAAATACGCGTATCCTTTATTTTTCTTTCACTTTATTCTCTTATCGCAGATAATCCAATTCATATATTTACATTTGAAAATAATCATTTCAATTAATTTATGTAATAAATCAAATTTTAAAAAGATACATAATATTGGATGATCATATGTTTTTTTATCAATGCGTTACATTATCATCGAGATAATGTTATTTATTTCAATTTTACAATTGAATTAATTCATTTTTAAGAGTATATTAAAATAATGTTAATATATCTATAAACAATGTTTTTCTCGAAAGGTGTATTAAGGTTTTAACGAACAAAAGAGAAAATATGCTCGTAAACAACGAAACACGTTAATTCTTTCATGGATGAAATTTACCATTATGCGATACTTTCGAAAGTCGTAAGGTATTTTTACCTGTTCCCTTCATATCTCTCTCCCTCTCTCTCTCTCTCTTTCTATCTATCCATCTATCCATATCTACATCCCTCTTTCTCTCTTTATCTCTCTCTCGTTTCCTAACTGAGGATATCCTTCCGTTGCAGTCATACCAAGTAAGTGCATTATCGGTCAGAAGTTTCGTTAGTGCTTTGCACTACCATCCCTTACGGAAGTTGTATCTTGGTGCTTCTCGCTTCAATTTTGCATTTCTATCGTTTACAAGAGAAATAGGAAGAGAGATAGAGAGAGAGTGAGAGAAAGAGCGAGAGAGAAAAGCGTTAGAGAATCTCGATGTAACGATATCGAGCATCTTTTCTTTTACTTCTTTCAAGAAAATGTTCAATCTCGTCGACTTACTTTGTTCAACGAGAACGAAACTTTTC